ATTTTAATGACAACTTATTATTGTCTTAGAATTTTTGTTTAGCAGAAGGGCTTCCTGCTTTATGGCTACTTGAAGAGCAACGCAGAAAATTATTTAAAGTCCTAATTGCGCAGACAGTTAGATATGTGAACTATACACCTTCTTCTTCAGGTGTTTTATTGCTTGTGAGGCATTTTCACCTCAGACCAAATGGTGACCACCTGTTACCTATCACCATAGTCTTACACAAACAGATTGAAAGAAGGCAGTATCATCTCTTGTGACCACTCTGGTGTAACAAATAACAGGCTGCATCCCAAAAGGTAAATTGTAAAAGCCAATTCAGAGAATGAATAAAGATCAAGCAACTGTTAAAAGGTAAATACTGAACGCTAAATTCCTTCGCCAAAGTTCTGGTATCAAAGTGCTGTTTATGCTCAATGTTATATTATTTTGATGGCTTTTCAGTATTGAAAAAAATTATTATGTTGACAGTCGTTCTTGCTTTACAACTTTGGTAAAGAAAAGGAGTTGGTAAAAATATGAAATTCAAGGAAAAAGGTAATTGAACTAGTGCGACAGGAAAAGTTTTGACTGCAAACTTTCTAGAGAATTTTAAAAACAGAAGATAGGAGATAAAAACCTAGGAAACTGAGAAATAGTATCTACACTATCAAAAGTCAGTGGCAAAAATATTGGATAATTTAAACTTCATGTCCTTTAGTATTTTTATTTTCTATTTGCAATAATGAGGGACCCCTAATCTGAGTTCCTCAGTTATTGATTTCTTGCTTCTCTGTGCCCTGGGAAAGTCAGATGAAGATCAGCATGACAGTATTTATAGGCTGCATCTCATCTGTGGGATGCAATCCATCTTCGTTAAGTTCAGTAAAAGTGATAGATAGCATTTGGCAACGTAATGATGTGATCACCCTACCATTGCCTTTGTAAATCATAAGCTGTTGCATTCTCTTGTGTAGATATTTAATCAGTTATACACCCCATTACTGATTTAATTCAGAATGTCAGTGGCAGGTGAATAATGTGAGTATTTGTATATTAATATCACATTGTATTAATGTTCCTTTCATTTAAGTATGCTATTCATGTGAAAATCATAAACTGTTGCTTCATGGCTAGAATAAATTTAATCAGTGCTGTAGGCATCTAATGCCATCAGTGTTTTAATTCAATATGTCAGTGAAACAAATGTGTTTCTTTTCATTTCCAGTTTCTTTATGGTTTACTAATTCAGAATATTATATGATGCTGTGAAAATATGAATCTGAGAGTAAACAAATTGCTAATTTTCTTCCTGTCAGTAGATTTTGGGACTGAGTTCCCCAGTTGTAGCACCAGATAGGATGAGTACATATTTCTCATGTATTTTAAAGTAGATGAATATCTAATGATAAATTAACTTAAAAAAAAAAAAAATGCTCTAGGTTATCCCTTAAGGAAGTGTGAAAGAAATATAAAATAATATCAGTGTCAAACTGGTAATGATATAACACCAGAATGCAGTTGCTTTGGAATCTTCTCCAGTGTCCTGTCTGGGGCAATATGAAGTTTCTAGAAGGTTTTAGTTTTAAGGACCACCTGAAAGTGGCTAGATGACCATTTCTAGGTTTAATTCTGTCTTCAGTTGGCACCTGCTTTATCATTGATAAAAGGATTTACGTGAATTTTGTGATTCTTGACTAACCTCTAAAACAAAAAGTTTATTTTAACCTAGAAACAATATGAACTCAAAAAACATTGTATTAGTACTGATAACTTATTGCGCTGAAGGCTTGCCTGTGTAGTGTACTGATGATGCTTCATCCAGCTCATACTACGTGCTAGTAAGAGCAATGTTAGTTGTATTTTCCGTTGTAAGAATTTATCTAAATTTTGTATCTCCTTAGCACCTACTCTCTAGGTCTTATGCCATTGACTTTAAAACCACCTTACTTACAGATTAATACTGAAAGTATTAAATTACTCTCTTCTGTATTGGTGGAGTTCTCAATTCCATAAGTAAGGAACATGATAAAACTAAAAGTTTATTGGCAAATAAAAGAGAGTGCTTCATATAAATCCTTCAGAAGTTATACTTTTGGTCAAGCTAAGCAAAAGCACTTGGTATGTGTACTCTTTTAAATAATGTGTTTTACTGATTGCTTTGTGTTAGTGCTACTCAAACATATGTATATATGGCATGTTTTTTTTAAACCTGAACATTTTAGATATTTTATTAAATTAAGAGGAAGATGTGTTTTTCATCTGTACGCTAAATGTTTGCTTATGTTCATATATGGCGTAATTTTCCATTACTGTTTTCTGAAAATCTAGAAATTATAAACAATGATGTTGAATTAAACTTTCTTTGTCACAATTTACAAATACAGATTTGCAGTGTAACGTGTTGGTCCAGTTTAAGAATGTGAAGCTATTCTTTCTGATTTCTGTAGAAAAATGGAGTCGTTCTCTTATGTATAGAAATTACAAATAAACCCACACATCTTCTATTTAAAGAGCACTTTCATCATTCTGGTTGTGTTCTAGTTCATCACGTCTAGCTCTGGCAGGAACAACATCATTTTCTTTTGTCTACTACAGAAGAGTTTTAGGCTATGTTGTATAAACAGTTCTCTTTCAAGTTTCTTGACAGATTCAGACAAGGAACAAAGTTAAAGTTGATAGAAATTCAAGAGGTTACATGAGGGAAATGATTTTTTTTTTTTTCCCCTGATACTCAATGCTCAAAATAAGAGCGTGATTTGCATCAAATCTTAGTTAAATCCTCGCCCCCTGAGGGTCTCCTCCTGTGGCTTTAACCACAAGACAAAGACTAGATTTCATATTTATAAAAACTTCCATTGTAAAAATGAGGAAACACTTGACATTCACAGATATGAAAGATAAAAATAGTGGAATAAATGCCCTGATGGTTTGTTCATTGCAAATAAAGGGCAAAATTGGTCAGGAAAAGGCAATACTAATGTTGTCAGTACTAATGTCAGTCCTAAGACTGATACTTTAATCAAGCATATTTTTTGCACGTCCTGAAGCATGGTGTGAGAAAGTTAAGGTGCGTTTGAGGTAGAGAGATTTTAGTGGTTGGCAGCTCTCTTTAGGCAAAGGAACAAAACTTGGTGTGGTCTTGTTTATATGCCCCAAAAGAGGTGGGGTTTTTTTTAAGAAAGAGTAGCAATTTTTATTTTTTTTTTTCCCTTCCCAGAAGAATAGCTGTATTACATTTTAGAAGGAATTAGTTGTTTCCTTACAGAAGCTTGCCCTGGTATAAGGTAACATGAATGTGGTGTGGGTGCTCAGGGGTGGAAGACCTGAGAATGAAACCACAGACTATCTCAGTTCGTAGTATAGACAGACATACCCAGAAACTGTAGAAATCAGAGCTGATAATAAGCCTGCATTCAGACATGTTTTAACTGGTTTCAAAATACTTCAATGAGTGGTTGCACATCTCTGTCGTGATGTTTGAAAGAACTGCTTACCTTTGATATCAGTTGTTGATTTCTGAAACAAAAATTAAAATATTCACTACATCTCAATATGTTTTTGATGCGTCAAATTCAAAATAAAGTAATAAGGCAACTAAATATTGCATTTAAAGAAAGAATACTTGTAACTCATTCATCTTTTTGAAAACCAGAATTCTTATCTAAAGGGTCATCTTCGCAGTGGTGAGAAGACTTTTTTGTAATTCCAAGTTGCCTTCAATGCCGTTTTTAAAGTTAGACTAGTCACTTTTTAGGGTTACTTGTAGGTGAGCTGAGTCTAGCTTTTTTCATAAATAGCCTTTCATATGTAGGAAAACCTATTTTACGTGTATTTGCCTCCCTTTAAGGAGTGTCAACTAATTTATTTTTTTCTTCTTTAAGACAATTCACTGAGACTTATCTACAGATATGCCGTAAAAATGTAGTCAGAAGATCTCGAAATGCTTTAGAAAGAGAAATCTAGAAAACTGATAAATAATTATTTGTCTCATAGTTTTGATTTATTTGCCTCATAGTTGTGATTTAGTGTCAGCACTTTCAATGTGATCGAACATATTTTGGGACTTTCTGTTCTCTGTACATTAATTGCATGCTAAAAAATTACATCTTCCAGCAAGCCAAATGTAAATTGTAATAACCAATGTAATGTAATCATTATTATATTTCTAGGTTTTTGCTGTCATTAATAAGCTGTATGAACCTTCTGGTCTAAAATTATTTGTTTCTAACAAAATAATAAGTGAAGTAATCAACGTACGTTTCTGTAGTAATTCAAAAATAATGGTAGGAAATAATTACTCCTATTTCTCACAGTCTGTCACTTTTATGTATTGGAATCAGATACAATTTATCTTTTCTGGATGTTAAATATATGCTTTAGCTGCTTATTAATATTTGCTTTTGTTTCTAGCTCACAGTTTTTTATGTAGAGTGAAAAAGTGTGGTGCTGTGGCTTATTAAAATGATGCATTGATGCTGAGACCTTCAGAGTTGGTCTTTTTTCAGTATTCTTCAGGTGTTTAAAAAAAACCCTACACAGTTAATAATAACAGGACACTTTGATCCCGATTAATGTAATATATATCTGTGTTAGAAAATACATTGAAAGATAATGCTAGATAATACAAGTAATTGGTGAAAACATGCCTAAGACTTGGCCTTACGTTATATTTGAAGTGACTAAAATATTGCTGTCTTGAATAATGTCTTGCTTATTATTTGTAATGTATTATCTGGGGACATTGTAGTAAAAATATTAATTTAATGAGTGTTACATTTGGCAAATATAGTACAGGAACATTAATAGTGATCTTGCTCTCTTTTTTGATTTAAATTTATAAAAAAACCAGTCTTTGATTTCAATAAAAACATAAACAGGTGAAATGATAAAAGAATTGGCAGAGTCAATAGGCTGAATTACTCTGTGATTCTGCAGGATCACCTTCAAGGAAAAAGAAAAACAAACGTCTTGTTAGAAGGAGTTTTATTTGCTCTGTGTGTAACCGTATCTTCCAGATGTTGGGTCAGTGGAGGGACTTGCTTATCATAGAGCTTGGGACACACTCTATTGGACCAGTTCAACCACATCTTCCATCACAAGACACACTGTTGACCAGGGTCGTCGAGGAGCTTTCAACCGGGAGGCAGTAATAACAATGTCTGAAGATGATCATCCACACGTGTTAGCTCTAGACGAATGTCAAAAGTATGTATTATATCTTTCTTACCAGATTTGAATTTTTGCCTAATGTCAAGAACACAGCAGCACTTCTTTATTTCACAGTCAGCTAATACAGCTGATCTCTATGAAGGTTAAGTAGATTTCTTAGTTTGGGAGACAAATGTTGGTATTAATTTTTTTAAAGCAATTGCAGAATTAAGGCACAACATTATAAATCTGTTTATGTTGCAGATCAAATAATCATTATGTTTTCATGGAATGTTAAAAGATTCAAGCTTGTTTCAAGGAAAGTGGGCTAAATACAAATTATCAAGACATCATTTTACCTATTTCTTTTGTCAGACATGTTACTCTCCTTGCTTTAATAAAAACCAAAATGAATTTAAGCCTTTATGAAAAGGAATGCAAGTTTCTTGTGTGGCAAATTGACAGGTCCATGTGTTTTTCACAAAGATCAGTGTTATATAATGTTGTATAGTAAGAGATGTACATTTATGGTGCTTGTGGACAACGTTCTGGAAAGAATTCTAATTTAGTTCCCCTTCCTGCCACTCTCAAGAAATCTGTATTTCCTAGTAAGTTAATAGGAGGGTTTATGTTTATGCTTCAGTCTTTTGCTAGTGTCTTAAAATTTGAGTAACTTCTCTGTTAATTCTGGAAGAAAAGCAACCTGCTTTTTTTTTTTTTTTTTTTTAATAGTCTCCCCTTTGGAAAGTGTAGGCTACATTTCTGCCTTATGATGTCCTATTTTTAATTTGGGATAGCTGAACTTACTATGTTGCATGGGTAGTCAAGGAGGTTATTTCCGTGTGTGACTTCACATACAGTTTATGCAAATGAAGAGTTTATGCTCTATTTTAAAATATTATTTATCTAGGTATCATTAATAAACCAACTAAATACTGATAGTATTGCAGTGAGAGAATGAGCAGGTTCTGATCAGTATATAAATTACATCCACAGCTCATTTTGTCCACCATTGCTTAACAGTAGCAAGGGACTGATTGTACCTCCTGTAGAGCATGTTAAGGTCACTTGATTCCCCGTTTTCATCCTTCTACATACCAGTCCTTTGGTCTGTATCACAGTTCTAAAATGGGAAAAGCTACAAATTGATTTCACTGAGTTAGTATTTATTAATATATACATTAGCAGAATTAAGCTTATGTTGTTAAACAGCTTATATCTTTCTGTAATGGTACATTAGTATAGAGACATGATCAGAATTGAACAGACCTGTGAAGAAAAAGAAATCTGTACTCGTATTCAAGTTACTGAACTAGGAAGCAGCTATGATTTATAAGCTGTTGGCTGTCACATTTTCTTATTTACCGTTGGTTATCAAAATTGCTTCTAGATGCCATTCATAATTGTTTATGAAGGCATATGGTTGTTGTGTTGCTCATTTCATAGAGAATTAAATTATAAAATGTATCTTATGGTTTTGTTTGTTATTTTGATTTTAATACAGCTTAATGTTTTGGACTAACTGGAATGAGCAGCTCCCAAGCATCATGAGATCCACCCTCTCAGGCAAAAATGCGCAGGTTATCATTAGTACCGATATTCTGACACCAAATGGACTTACCATTGATCATAGGGCGGAGAAACTTTACTTTTCAGATGGCAGCTTGGGGAAAATTGAAAGGTGTGAATATGATGGATCACAAAGATACGTAAGTAAACAAAAATCCCAAATATATTCCTTGTAAATCTGCTTGTTTGTATTTGTTAGCATCTTTACAATAAAAATGTTATGGAAAGTTCATTACTTGCCTAAGTTTCTCCTAATATTAGTTGTATATTAGATTTAAAAGTAAAAACTCTTCTGACCTACAAGTAATGTTCTGTTAACACGTTCCAGTTTCTGGATGGCCTTCTGGAGATGCAGACCCTTACCATAAAAATCTGTTTGCATTGGCATTGAGCCTGAAGCATCACTGTCCCAAATGACCTATATCAGCTTGAAAAATGTAGAACTGACTTGAGTAGAAGAGGTAGAGAAATATTCTGCTTTACATAGGATGATTATAATTTTCCTTCCAGTGGCAAACTTTTCTGAATGCACTAGAATTTTTTTTTGTGTGTAGCGCTTGAGTGTTGCTCTAACTATCCATTTTCAGATCTATGCAACTGCACCCCATTGCTCTTTTATTATAATAAATTTTGGTCCTTGAGTGCTCTATTAGTTTCAGCTTAAGTAGACCTTTTGCTTGGAATATGCTGAAGGCAGTTGATCTGTGCTCACAATTTTGTTGCATGTGTAGCTCTACATTACTCATATTTCATGAAGACTTCATTTTGGGGTTTTTGTACCTCCCAAAGTGCATTATAAAATAAATTAAAGGCGTGTTCTGGCTTGTATTTTCAGGTTCCAGCTCTACAAAATAAGGTTTGGTACTTCAGCTCATTTTCATATCTAATAATGTAAAAAAAATCCTTCATATACGGTAGAAAAGCTTTGAATTGTTTTTTTGTATCTTAAATGAGAATTACATGTTTTTCTGGAATGTTATCCCAGAGAGGTTCCACAAACTTTGTTTAAACTAAATTTCCTTATCAGAGGAGAATAAGAGAGTAGAATTAAAATCAGCATGACCAGGCACATAGTTTTGTGTGTGACTACGGAGAATAAGATTATTTATGATACCTCAGCATCCCGCAAAATTCTAGGAGGTTGAAATAAATGTAACATTGGATTAAGTTTGTCATTCTCATTTATGACGTTGAAAATAAGTATTGTGTGATTAATATGCATGTCGTTGTAAAGAACCTGGTTAATATAGCCCTAATTTACAGAGATGTATACTTCCCGTTTGAATGGCACTCGAAATGTACGGGCCTGTTGTAAACACTTGTTTAATATATCATTCAGCTGAACTGAAAATGAAAAGAAAATCCTTGCATTAAAGATATGACAGTGATGAAAATATGGTCTTTATTCAGACCAATCAACAAAAATCATGTTTATTTTTAGTAGGATGTAGCAGCTATTGGCACTGTTCTTTCACAAAACGCAACTTAAAACTAGACTAGAAATTCTTTTAATTTCTTCTGTGACAACAGGAATGCAGAATAGGTAAACTCATAAGTCTTCTTTTCAGTACCAAATTTCTTTCTCCTGTCTTTACCCCCCTACCCACCACACCCTCCTGCAATTGTTTTGTTCTGATTCACATGAGCTTTTTGTCCTAATAATGCCATAGTGTTGGAAGGACAGAATTTGGATACTCCAGATCAAGGCTGATAATTTGTTCATCCAGCAAGAAATAGCATTTTTTGCTTTTTATTAAAGCTACCACGTCAAAACAAGGAGTCTGATCTAACTGTATCTTTTTTTAGGTGGCTAAATCAAATACATGAAAGTTATGACTTAGACTTCCCCACCCCCCCCCAGCTGTGCAACTGGTTTCCTTATATCACAGTCACATATGGTTTTTTTCATAGATTCCTTGCTTATACTTTTTTAACTGAATAATAAATATGGCATGCTATTTTGTCTTCCATTTGAAGGAATAAAATACAGTAGCTAATTTTAGATTAATGTGTTCTGTAAAAGTCAGTTCCGTCAGACCGAGTTTTCTGATACATCTAAAATGTTATTTATTTTTAGATTACTGATATTGCTTTATACTTGTGTAATGATTTTATTATGCAATTGGCTTTAAACTGCCATTAATTTTAATATTTTTAAGTGTAGTTTTCTATACTGGCTTTGTCATTCTGTCATAGACCTCTAAGATGATTTGGGTCTCTTTAGAAGAATAAAGAGCCCTTAAACTTTTAAAAGCTTTATTAGATGGCACCGCTCATTTATTAAGCATTTTGAAAAATAAGTGTTATCAATAATGCTATGAGCATTACTGAACAAATGTTCCTGGATGTTAGGTTTGGCCTTTTGTTTGGATCTCAGATCTCCCAGGGTTGAACAGCAATGGTCAGTTCTGTAATGACTTTACATTCCTTTGTTACAACTTGAGAAAAAATACTGCAGAATGCTGGACAGAGTGGTGCTTTCCTTGGCATTGGTTGTGACAATAAAATCCTTCAAACTGGGACAGTTTCACATTGTCATGGAGATATTATGGGGTTGTAAAATCCACATGGCCAGATTTCATACAGATCTTGCAGAACCATACATTATTGATTTTTTTTTTAAATGTGTCTGAATATGAATAGCTTAGGCTTTTAAGAGTGTATTATGAAAAGTGTCTTACAGTAAATGTGCACACAGTTACAGAAGAGGTCTTTTCACCATTAGTACATTCTCATCATTTTTTAATACTTTTAATTTTGAAAAAAAGTCTTTGCTGGAAAGAAAGGATTTGTTGGCCAAACCTTCTTACAGATATGCTGAAATATATATGATGTGCATAGCGGTGCAGACTTGGTTAAAATTATCAGATTAATAAGTCATTTTGACACTGTATCTATATAAATGAATTTCAACACAAACAGGAATGCTCCTGTGCACTGGAATACAATTGTTTATGTTAGCAAATTGTTGAAATTTTCACATCTTGACTCTGCCTGTGCTAGCTAATGCTCTTTGCAGACAGTTTTTAGGAGTAGTTTGGCACTGAGTCAGGCCAAGGATGTTCCCAAAGGCATTTTGCCAGCCACTGTTTTGGAGGCTGCCCGCAGCCTGGCCCTGGTCAGGGAACTGGCAGAGCTGTGAACAAACTGCCACTGAAGCATTACTTGGTATTGAATGTGGCAGAGTTAGGGCACCTTCTTAATCTCCAAGGCATAGCTGTAGTAGAATTTTCTTTTTTTATTTATTCCACAAAATTAAATTTGGATGTCCTATATATTAGGTGAATTCTCTATATGATGAGAAAGACTTTTGTTTTTTGTTTTGGTTTTTTTTTTTTGTTTTGTTTTGTTTTGTTTTTTTTTTTAAGTATGGGATTGACCATTACTACTTCACTCTCATTCCATCATTTAAAAAAAAAAAAGGTATAAAGCATCCCCTTGCAAGTAGGATAAAGAGTATACCAGTTGGCTCTGCATCCACAGTGCAGCCTATGTGCATGTGTGCGGTCAGCATGGGTAGCTCAAATTCAGGAGATGTGCTGTGTGTACACAGATAATTATCTTCCATATTTCAAGTTGATTTCCGTGAACTCACATTGTTATCAAAAGGTCATTTAGGAAAGAGAATAAAGGACAAAAAGCAGATGGCAAACCATGGTGACCTAAGTAGAGATACAGGTTTAGCATTGATGATTATAAAAAAGAGTAGTTTCTGTTGGGTTGTTAAAAGAAAGATATTCTTTTTCTAGTTTTATCCCAATTTCGCTATGATAAGTAGCAGTAGATACATAGATACAGGAGTTTTTTGTCAGCCGGGATCAGAAGATCTGTTCCCACTTTATACATATACATAAGTTACTAATTTTCGCAGAGAAACATGGAAGAATACAGTGCAATAAATATGTTCAGAATACTATTTATTTCCATTATCTCTCAAAAATTCTAACGGAGAAATAATGACTGCCTTCCAATGATTCTTCTATTCAGACAAAATTAATTTTTCAACTAAAGAGCTGATTAAAAATGTTTTATATTCTTCAGAAGAGAAACTGTACATGTTAATTTTTTAATTCTGATACATAGAAAGAACATATATGAAAATAATTTACAGGAGATGTGATTTAGACTGAAATTAATTGTATTTCTGAACTTTCCATTCAAACCCTACTATATAGTGAACTGCAGTACACATTTTCTTTCTAGGTTTTAAACAATAATTAGCATGGTGACTGAGGGGATTTTTTTTTTTAATTGGAAAACATAAAACATTTATTGTCTTGGGTTCAAGTTTCTACTGTGATCATAGTGGTGAACGCTCATCAGTTCTGAAACATGCTTCTGGCTTTGACTCAGAATTTTTAGACTTTCAGCCATGCGGCAGTACTTCTTTTTCTTTGTTCTGTTTGGGCTATTAAGCAGGTAGTGTGCTGAGCAGGTATTTTTACAAGCACATTTAGATAAATGGTGATTTTTATTTTTTTTTTACTTAAGGAATAGATTCCTGGATTTCTGAAGTTTGGACATATCAAGAAATAAGTTAACGCTTGTAGCATCCTTTTAACATAGTTTAAGTGCTGTTATCTCGTTTTTCCAGGTGCTGTAAGTATAGAAGAATTGAGTGTTTTGTCTAAAACTATAAAGTGATGTCACAGTTTGCACTTTTAAAACTTTATATTCAGAGACAACAGTCCTTCTCATTCTTCTCTTCTGTATTTGTGTGTTCTAGGTAATTGTCAAATCTGGACCAGGTACCTTTCTCAGCCTGGCTGTATATGATGATTATATCTTCTGGTCAGATGGAGTTAGGAGAGCCATTCTGCGTTCCAGTAAATACACGGGAGGAGATACAAAAGTTCTTCGTTCGGATATCCCGCATCAGCCCATGGGCATTATTGCTGTTGCCAATGATACTAACAGTTGTAAGTTACAAAGCAAGAGGCACTATTTTGTTAATTCCAGTATCATTCATTTCAAGAATTTTACTTAGTTTTAACTAGGTTAAAACCTTTCATGGTGTATCATAATTTTTTTTTGTGATAGGAACTGTTAGTAAAAGATGGGATATAACCTCTTCCCCAAGTAAATAAATAATAGTGAATGACCATCTTCTGCTATGGATATTGTGCTCATTTGATAGCAGTTAAATCATTTCCTGTCACATATCAACAGTTTGGAATGTTGTGTATTTTTTATTATATTCAAGGTAACTCCATTTGTTTATCTTCAGTATACTGACATCTGAGGCATGCTGACATTTTCATCAGACTGATAAAATTTGAATCAATTGCCCATGAATCTGAGATATGGTGGTCTTGACTCTCTCAAACACATTGGCCATTGAAGCAAATTTAATAAAAGAGTTCATCTTTTATCATTTGTTTTTCAGGTGAGTTATCTCCTTGTGCACAAATGAATGGAGGTTGTCATGATTTATGCCTTCTGACTCCTGATGGACGAGTGAACTGTTCATGTCGAGGGGACAGAATACTGATAGATGATAACAGATGTGTGAGTAAGTAATACTGGCTGACACAATGCTTTTCTATGCTGTGCTGCAGTTGGCTATCATAAGCAAAGACAGTTGGCCCAAGCCATTAATTTTATTGCTTCTATATACTGTAAAAATGGATCTGGCAATTCAGCAAATAGCAGGTTTTCAACTGTTTTCTGTCCTATAAGGCTTTCGGGGGATTAAAAAACATTAATACAGACTTTCCTTAAAATGCGGTTTGGGTAGTTGTGTTCTACTGATGATTTTATATTCGCAACTTGTTTCTGTTGCATACAACTATTTTCATTTCATGTCCTTTGACATATAATTTTAACTTATTAACCAGCTTTTCTGTTTAACCATATAGAATTAGTGTTTTAGTAATAGGGGAATGTATCATTTCAAGTTGGCAGACTCCTTGGAGGCTGGTTTTGCTGGAGAATATTCAGTATTACGCTATTCTAAATGCTCTTCTCACATCTTCCCATGCTTCTTCTGAACCAGTATGTCTCAACACATGATAAAGAAAGTATAACTATTTTTTCATAATTCAGAAGTGGTTCAGAATATTGCTATTATATAAAACAGTGCTTAAATCCTCATCTAGATCATGATGATTCCATCTTCTGAATTATTTTGTAGAATGTTTTCAGGAAATATTGATTTGAGCTGTTAGTTAAGAAAAAAAAAGACTGTAAACATTGGGGTTGACTAGCACAGGAAAGATAGAAACAAGGCAGACTATAGTTTAGCTGTGAGATCAAAAGTTTCTTTCTGTGTAACACTGTTGAAAGATATTTAGCAAAAAAATAACTATCCTTTCAAAGTTTAATGTATGGTGTGTGTATATATATATATAAAACTTACTGCCCGTCAAGATTCTTGAGAAAAAGCTTAAATAAAATTCAAAGAGGGATTGAGTGATTGTGTGGGTAATAAGACTACCCAGACTACAAATAAACATTTTTGAAAGGCATTAAAATGCTTTGTTTCTGAAGGCACAGTAATATCAAAGTCATCAGCTCATCAGAATCACTGCCTTTAAGTTGCTTCACTGCATGCTCTTTCATGGGTATTTTGCTGTTTTGTTTTGTTTTGTTTTGTTTTTTTAAAAGACTGTCTCTTACCTTGGTTTGGAATTCACCCCAACATATAATTTCTGAAAATTGCTTGCTATTTAAACGTCTGTTTTCAATTCTGCATAATACCAATAAATTTATGGAGAAGTATAGCAGTCCTGCAGGCCAACACTCTATAGAAGCTCTTAAGTTCTGATGCCATGGTGTTGGTTTTTTTTCTACTTCGGTTTCCAAAACTTTGTAGGAGATATTTTAAGTGCAGCCAACGTTTTTCTAAATTTTCACTAAGTGTAAACACTATCAAAAATTACATGATAATGTTTTCTTTTTAGCTAAAAATTCTACTTGCAACGCTTATTCTGAGTTTGAATGTGGAAATGGTGAATGCATTGATTATCAGCTGACTTGTGATGGCATTGTTCATTGTAAGGACAAGTCTGATGAGAAACTTTTCTACTGTGGTAAGTATTTCCAGACATTTCACCTTCACGTTCTTATTTTGGTTATACGTGCTTAGATTGGTTCCTCTGGGACTTTTCTACTTAGTCATACTAACTGCTCACCAAGATGCACAAGAAGAAAATGCAAGCTCGCACATTAAGAAAACCCTGACATTATGTGGATAGAATTACTTATACGTGAACATATTTTCCTTGCAAACTTCATGTATTAGCTGACTTGTATTTAATAAAAAGCATCTCAAATGTTCTCATATTTATGTCTCTCAAAATAAGGAAAAACACAGCTAACTGCTTTCTCAAAGATGAAAAACTGAGTATTTTCAGCCCTCATTTAATAATTTTGGTTTAGGCTTCCATATTTAATAAGATTTTCTCTGATTGTGAATAGAAAACATGAAAATAGAAGTGTTGTAAAATACAGAAATGACTGTGTAATAGATATCTTTCCAGCCAATTTTCTGTTTAAGTTTATGATATCATTATTCTTCACAGTCTTCACAGTCTGCATCTTGCAACAAGTTAGATTCAAAGGTGTCTACTCTCTCATTATTTTCCCAAGGGATTCTGTCCTTATCTGTGTTTTTCTCTAATAGTCACTAACTGAATCACTTCCAGTTTTTTTGGACAAACTCCAACTGAGTTTGTCTGTCACAGTGCCTGAAACACTACTGTGGAAATAATTTTCCTAAATCACTGGGTCACCTTAGTGAATTTATGTATCCTGCACGTTAGGTGAAATCTCCTTGTTACCTGTGTGCCTGTAACTCGTGGCCTTTATCTTTTCCTGTGTATCCATATCACAGCCTTGGTATCTCTTCTGTTTCCCATATGAACAACTTCATGTCACTTCAGGCTCAACCATTGTGTTTATACCTGCCACCTCTATAGTTTTATGAAAGTGTCTACTTTAATTCTTGAAACTCCCCTCTGCCATTTTAATAGAATCATAGAATATCTCAAGTTGGAAGGGACCCATAGGGATCATCAAGTGAAACTCCAAGGCTGATACTGCAGTAATAGCCAAGGTTGATACTGGAAAAAAGAAATTGAATAGCTTTCTTTTTTTTTTTTCCTTATAGAAATTAACACCAACCATCTGAATATAACACCTTGTACATTTTTTTTTCTTCTTTCGTTTTCAATTTGTGCCTTGTTAGCTTTCAGACTTCTTATGAGATAATTGCTTTGATTGTGTCATTTATAACTAATAGCAACAATCCATCAGATCACTTACAGGTAGATAACTAAGGAGGTTGTTTTGTTTCAATGTGAAAAAAAAGAAAACACATCAGACATGGAAGAATCTGGAATATACAAACCACTTCTAGTTACGGGGGGGTGGTCCTTGAATTACAAGTGACAGCTTCAAATCACTGAAAAGTAAATTACTTAGGTCTGTGAATTTCTTCTTTGGTTTCCTTACTAAGTATGTGGTGATATTTTTGTATTTGTGTATGCATCTTGCTTAGACATATGAAGTAATTAAAAAAAAAAAAAAAAAAAAACACAAACCAAAACCAAAAAAAAACCGCAAACCACCAAACCAAAAATGACTCCACAACCAATAAAAACCAGTCAGCTATATTTTTATATGGATTAAACCTCTTTGACTCTAATTTTAGTCACTTATTTCATTGCTGGTTCATGGAAGAAAGATTAAGATTTCATGTAGTTTCTTTTACTTTGTTAGGAGAGTAGGTTAGAGGAATAGAGAGAAAGTCATCTGGGAATAAATAAAAGAAAGTTGTAGCTGGTGAGGAATCTCAAAATACTCTTGCTTGTCAGTCCAGAGAAGTTGTCTTATATATCAGTATAGGTTTGAGGTTTACTGAGCTGATAAAACTATTTTGTAGTTTATTCTACAATATGGAAAAAATATAAATGCAAGATCCAACTATTTGTCTTTCCATGGATTTTCCACATAGTTTTATGAAGCATTTTCCATCAATTTGTAGTGTGACAGTGTATGTTTTGCCTGATTTAAATCAACCATACTGAACTTTTTGCTATACGTTGAAAAAAGCAGGAAGAATGGTGATGCTGTCATGCACTAGGTCATATACAATATGTTGTTTTTCAAAGTTCATAACGTACAGGATGCTGGGCTTATTGAGTAATCTAATGAACATTATTTTTTTTATTATTGTGGTATGACTTCTACAATGGTTCGAGCTTTAGTAAGTAATTCCTGAATTTTCAAGCATATCAATGTACGTAAAGTTCATACATTCTTCAATAGTGTACCTACTATAGCAGAACACATGCAGGTTTTGGTATTGAGAAATCCAGCAACTTTTCTGATAAAAAATTTTATTATTTTACTCTCTAGTTATTCCTAATTTGGTTTAGGGCAAATTTGGTGTGTTTCATTCTGTATGACAGAGTTACTGATGCTGTATGCAAACGTTGTCATATGCCTGACAAAAGTGCATTAAAACAAATGCATTTAAAGCACGTGTAATTTTTACACTATGAGGTAATGAAAATTGTGAATTAAGCTTTCCTTTTCCATTTTTTGTCATTCTTTCATTCTTTCTCATCATGCTTTCTTTTATTATTCTTTATCTCTTTATCAATCTTAAGTTCCTCTGCTGGACAATAAATGAACAATTTCTGAAGTTTTTCTTGTAACTTCAAATGCGTTTTCATTTAAATGTTTTTCTGGTATACTTGTTTTTAATGTAAGGCTATTTTTATTATGTATCAAGAGTCTAAATGAAATTCTGTGCTTGCACTTAACTTTCCAGAAAATAGAGGCTGTCGGAAGGGTTTCAAACCATGTTCTAACCGTCGCTGTGTTTCAAGTGACAAAGTATGTGACGGCATAAATGACTGTGGTGACAACTCTGATGAACTTGACTGTAAAGGTAAATGGCAGTTACTTCCAAGGTGATGTCAAAATATTAGTCTGTTAATACTTAGTATGTAAATAGAAGTAGCTAGAAAGTGCATATAACTTGTTTGGAATTACTGGTGTTGGGATTTGTTTTGTTAGAATTCAGAAACAAGCAGGTGCACACTCTTTAGGAAAGCATATGTTGATATTGATATGAAAATCGATCTTGGTTTACACCTGCAGTCCTCTAGAAGGAGAGTGGGTTTGGTTATGGAAAACTCAGAATATAAAGTTCTGCTTCTTTGGTGAAGCAATAGATGAGAGAGGATCTCTACTACAGACAGAAGGGTTGAAATATGAATGATTTCTTCTCTGCATCTGCTGCACTGTTTCTTCTTTGAAGCAGCTAGTGTTCTATTTCTGTGCTTCTTGGGTGCAAGGCGATGTCTCCATCCTTTGCAAAACTAGCCAGAATTGTTCTCCTTTTTATATCAGAACTGTTTTGTCTTTTTATGTCTTAAAACATGAATATTTATGTATCAGACAATGAATAAAGACTAGCTAGCAGACAACACAAATCCTTAGTTACAATTCAGAAAGATTGGAGGGGAAATTATTTCACAATATATATCTAAAAACTACGTATCTGCAATAACTAGCGTTTGGAAAGCACTGCATGGTTTTTAATTATTTAGGTGAATATGAGTAGAGAGAAAAGCTTACAGGCAAAAACCCCAACCTGGTCTTCCTTGGAAGAAATTTCAGAGATTCATAGATGGTTCTGAATGTGTTTCTTCTTTCCTCACATGTTGATTGTCTCAAATTGAGTTGAATTATCTAGAGAGAGACTTTTAGGCTCAAAAAATATGTTTAAAAATGAGCAACTTATGCTTTCAAGTTCATTAGACCTTATATTTGTACTGATTTTGTGGCTATGCAAGGTACAGTGTGTTCTGAATGCCTCATCCTAAAAGGTAGAAGGTTTAAACACAGTACATATAATATGCATCTAAAGAGTCTGTTTAGGACACAAATTTACATCTTTTACAACCATATGTTATAGATTCAACGTGTGCTTCAACAGAATTCCGTTGTGCAGATGGGACTTGCATTGGAAAATCAGCACAGTGCAACCAGATCATCGATTGTGCAGATGCTTCAGATGAAAAGAACTGTAGTAAGTTCACGTTTGTGCTTCATCGTAGCATCTGTTCCTTGATTATTCCTTGTTATATAGCAGTTAAGTCATAATCATCATTAGTTGGGTACCAGCAGCTGAATGGTCTGCACAAACTCAAGCAAAACTTGAAAAGAAAACTGTCAGGCTCTCAATCTGTGTTAGGTGTGCTGTAGTAACTTACTGTCTCTTTCCAGTTAATACAAACTGCGCTTACTTCTATAAACTTGGAATAAAATCTTCAGGATTTATTAGCTGTAATTCGACTTCACTTTGTGTACTGCCAGAATGGATATGTGATGGATCTAATGACTGCGGAGATTATACAGATGAACTAAAATGCCCAGGTAACTTTGAAAAGGAAAAAAAAATTCTGGTACTTTTGGGTTTTTTTTACTAACCATGTTGCAAAATATTTATTTAGTCAACACTGTTTTATTGAATTATGTTGTTTATGGGGATAAATATAACACCAAATGCAGGTTTTTTACCAATCTATTTTGATAATAAGATTATGCAAATTATTACAAATTACTAATGCATTTCTCTGAAGTAAACTGTAATGTCTGGCTTTCTATTTCCTCAAGGTTATGTCTATCATTAATAATTTTTATTTAAGTAAAACATCAGCCATTAAAATATTAATCTCATCAAGCTTCACTCGAACTTTTCCTAGCTACTACTTTAGTAGATGGTATTTCTTTTATTTTTCACTTTTTTTAGCTTTCTCTGGTATTTTGTTGAGTTCCTTGGGGCAGGCTGCCAGGGTAGAATCCAAGATTATTGCTTCTGTGATTGTTCTGCTCTTCAGCCAGTACAAAGACATCTTGATATGCTTGAGTCCCAGTCCCAGGGCTGAGATTGTAGGCTTTCCGAAAAAGGAAGAGGTATTTACAGCTGGAGATTGTGTGCTTTTCTAGGTTTCCCTGTCTTTTTTCTTCCTTCCTAGGGGAAAGACATTACACTCTTAAACATGTAGGGGGGGGAAAAAAGGTCATAAGCTTAGTGTCTTGGAAAATGAATCATATGAAAAAGTTATTAAAATAGAGATGGGCAAAGAACCAAGAACAAGAACACGTGGAAGAATTAAGAAACAAACTTACTTGACATTTTAAATTCTTATTTTTTCGGCTTCTCATCTGAGAGTTTTTCATGAGAAGGCAGAATTCTAACACAATGCGAACATACGTTTTCAAGATGTATGCATAAATAAATCGTAAGGAAAGCCTCTACTTTCTTGAGACTTTGTGATGTATTTTTTATTAGAATGACTAAATTAAGTGGTAATGAAATTTAGAAGATAACATAAAGTTTTTAATGTTTAAATAGCTTTGCCCTCTGAACCTATCTAGTGGCACTGGAGGGAAAGATCCCTCATGCAGGAGTGTAGTGCTTCTGTGCAAGTTTCTTTTACAGTCTTGAGAAATGCTCATTATCTCCTAATCACAGTTTCAACATCTGCTTTCTATTATTCCATAGGTTTTTTTGGGTTACCTTAAATTCTGAAGCGTTGTACAAAATCAAACTCCTAATGATGAATGAGTATAAATATCTAGCAGTATTCTTAATAAATATTTATTTTTTCATTTGTTTGGGGTTGGAGGATTTTTTGGGGATTATACAATTGTTAACTCCAGTTGTTGAGACATTTATTATCGTATCTAATATTTACCAATGAATTATTCACAATATTAAATCCTTATTTGTAGAGGATGGTGTTTATGCATTTGCTCCTGTATTATTCAGGATGCCTCATTTAAGTTGGAGAATATTAAGTACAATATATAAACATACCTATAAATAAAGAAGTTATAAACTGTATTTAGGATGAAAACACCTTGATGACCACAGGTTTATTGATACATATTTGTAGGGTTAGGCCCATCCTGTCAAATTCTGATCAAACTGAAGACAGCACACTAGTAAAGAAACTCTGCAGATGTCAAGCCTGTATCTCCTCTCCTGCACCTTGAGCTCTTATGCAAAAATTTATAAAATTAAAAATTAGTAGTATTTTTTTGCTCATGGTATTCCTATTACTATCATCTTCCAGAACCTCATTCACTCTTTTAATTTCTAGTCTACATGTATTCCAGTTTATAGCTGTTCTTATGCTGAGAAGGACCTTGTAGTCCTTCAGTAATCATCTCCTTACTCTTTACTTGCAATGGCAAATAAGCCAAAGCACTTCAGAATTCCTGCTTTCAAGACAGGGATATCTACCTGTGTCATCTTCGTCATCTCAGCCTGCGTCTCTCTTGAATATACCAGGCCGATATCCAGTATATCAGATGAAGTCTTAACTTTTGCCTTGTATCAGTGAAAATACATTTTAAATTTTTGTTTACATTTGTTTTTACAATTGACTCACTCTAGATTGTAACTGTCTTCCTGTGACCAATACCTCTCTTTCTTTTAAGAATTATTATTTAGTAAAAATAAATATTAAGTAATTAATAAGTGTTATTAATTAGTAAAAAATAAAAAAAATTATGTTGTTAAATGCCATTCAATTTTTGCCAGCTCAGTAACTAACATAATCTGATTATTCCCATTTAATATTCTGTTTTTCTGTGTGATAAGCCCATTGTGTCATCAAAAGCTTCTAACAGAAGTCTCCTATGTTTTGTGCCAGCTTCATTGGTGACAATGTTACCAGGATCCAGAATGAAACTAGAATGTCAGCACTAGCATCAATCAACCTGACATTAAGACCTTTCATCCTCCCTATAAGCCAGATGCATATTAAATTATAGTTTTCATATCTCCATATTCTTCATTTTAGCAAATAATTCTTTAGAATTTACTGTATATAATGCCTTACTGAGCTCAAAATAGCTTAATTTTCTTTATTTCCTTTGTTTATATGGGTTTTTTTTAACACCAAAGAAGATTTTGAGGGCAGTATGCTTATAGCTTCAGTAAACTAATGTTGCATAAGTAAACTAATGTTGCATTTTATTCCATAGTCCATTTATTTGTATTACTTTGTTTTGTCTTTCAAATGTGTGCCAAAAAGTTCCATCATTTTAATGTGTGACTAATTGCCTGGATCATTCCTCCCTTTACTTGGAAGCAATGCCATTCCAATTCAACCTACATGTGATTTCCTTTGCCATTTCATTCAAAACTGACCAACTTTGGCACATTAAGTTTTTGAGTGTTGTTTCTGTTATGAATATGCTAATTCCCATTGACAATTTTTGTTCATTGTCATTGTTCTTACAGAAAATTAAGGCAAAATATTCATTTAAGGATGGCTATGCTTAGACAGTCTCTAATATCTACCCATTCATTATAGACTTCCCGCTTCTTTCTGTATTCTTTTTTTCTGTTCATACAGTTGTAGAAGTCATAAATATGGTAACTTTAACTTTCTTTTTAAGAGAGACTGGTGGCAGGGGCAAACAAAAGCAGTGTTAATAGGCCCAGTACATTTAAGGAATAATAGAAACCTCGGTAGAGAACTTCAGTGATCTCCAGTCCTTGGAGCTACTGTGTATTGCCTGGGTTTTCCCAGACGAAGACCTTTGAAAATAACATGTGCCACTCAGTAGAGTAATACTTGTGCTCATGTCATGAAATAAATATATGGTATGTCATCTTTCCTCACGTGTGTCTTCTAAGCATTCATAAAAGTTAAAATCTTAAATGACTTTCACGCTCTATAAAGAAAAACGGCAAGGAAGAGGAACTTTTTCATTTGTGGCAAAGTCCAAATCTCTGGCTCCAGCATCAGTGGTATAGCACCAGTTAGTGCATACATTAGATTTGTAGCTTATCCCAGTGAATGTGACAAAAATACTGCCACAATTAGGTTATCTCGTAGATGGTGGCAGATAGATCAAAAAGGCAATTTCTTCAGCTGGTGTAAAACAACTGGCAAAGTTGATCTACCTGAGCTCAAAACCTATAAACTGAACTACTTTACTCTGTAGGTCCTTTTAATTGAGTTTGAAGTTGTGCTCTGATTCTTCTTTAAATACATGAAGTACTTCAGCTCCCTAAATTGCCTAGCTATCACTATTTTCTAATTTGTATGAACACAAATAATATAAATACTATTTTTTTTGCATTTTTAGACATAAACACTTTGTCCACTAGTATTCAGAAGTATATCAGAAATGTATTAGGCTCCTAATCATGCTAGTAGAGACCATTTTACATTACATTCTTTATTTTATCACAGTTCAAAACAAACCCACATGTGAAGAAAATTATTTTGGTTGTCCTAGTGGAAGATGTATTCTGACCACCTGGCTTTGTGATGGGCAGAAAGACTGTGAGGATGGAGTAGATGAATTGCACTGTGGTGAGCATATTTTGTCTCATTTGTATTTCTGTAATTATTAATGTACTTTGGAAATGGAAGGAAGTGTGCATTTATATCTCAGATTGAATCTACAGCTATATAAAAAGGTCTTTAATACTGCATTTTCAGGTTCAGCTCTCTAATACTTCATGCTGCCAATATTTTAAACCCTGTCTCATGCCGGAATGAAAACCCTATAATTTTTTTTTTCTGCTGAAGATATGTTTGTATACAGACTTTTCTATTGCTTTCGTATTTAACACTTTCACTAATTCTTCATAATTCCTCATTAGGACAGTTTTACAGATATAATCAGGTTGTATCAGTGTCTTGTGACCCCAGCACGAAGTAACCAAAATAGACCTTTATGACATAAAACCAGACATTTCTTTGCATTAGAGGCCATACAGATATGAGTATTTAAAGTAACAGCAAAAGTGTGTGAATAAAATACAGCAAAAACTGTGAACCAGGTTAAGGGTCCATTCCATCTCGGATCTTCTAAAATTCTTAAACTCTATCTAATTGATGAGCAATGCAGGTTAGTTTTGCTCGTTGTGAGAGCTGGACTTTTAACTTAAATTTTTATGGATTTTTCTATCTAGATTATTTCTATAATTAAATTGTAGCAGAAGAGCAAAAGCAGTGTCAAGTTTTCCTATTCCCTATTTAAATAAAACCTGAAATTTGTATATTCCTTTTTATTCTTTTTTTTTTTTTGCTTAACTATTTAACATGACTAAAAGTTATATGTTAATTTCTTCATGACCCATATTCCATTAACATGCTTCCATGTTTGGTTTGCAGTTTACATTGTATATGTGCATCTTATAACTTCAAAATTAGGAACTGCTGTGCGCTATGAAAATCGGACGGTTTTGTGTTGACCATATTAATCAAGTATTAACTTAGTATTTTATGTTTCCAGGTTTCATCACACATACATAATTGGATGCAATATTTTAATACGTATTAGCTGATTTTCCTGGGAGAGAGGAAACAGAGTTTAGTCAATTCTTTTTTCCATACTTATCGCTCTTACCCATTTTGAAGTAGTTGTTACAATACTCTACTTTTAAATTCAGATTGCATATACCTAAGATTCTTTTAATTGTTAATGCTAAAATTTCTCGTCATCAGTTAAAAAAAAAATACATTTTATTATTAAAGAAGTCTGGGAAAAGTGGATGATTTGAAGTTTTTAGAAAAGGTCATAATAGTGCGCTTATTTAGAACAGTTGTGCAGACTGGTTTTGAAATGCAGAAGCGTGCCATTGTTTTCAATATATACAAAAGTATAAATGGGACAGCAGAATGCCAACACACAGGATTTTTTTCTTATGAGGAAAAAGAACAGGAAATCTTTTAAAGATGCAATTAAGTACTGCAATGCCAAGAAGAATGCAGTGTTGGAAAATTTGGACTGTGCCTTCTCTGCCCTAATAAGCAGTTCGCTATGGTTATAACAACCATGTGAAATACATAAACCAGATGTATGTTTTTAAAGTGCTTGTCCTCATCCCACTAGCAAATGCTTAAAAATATTAGAATGTGAGTGCTTTGAGGGTTTTACTATTTGTTTTTTTAAATAAATAAATGTATTCGTGAATACAGACTCTTGGACAAACTGGTAACATGCTGACTACCAAGATTAGGATTACACTCTATTTGACTTTTTTAATACACTAGACTGGGAGGAGGTGTGGAGATTCCTAAACCATGCTAGAAAATAGAGGGAACACAGTGCTGTTGTGAACCTAACAAATGCAGTGACTGGTGTCATTCTTAGATTCATCTTGTTCCTGGAATCAATTCGCTTGCTCTGCAAACAAATGCATCTCTAAGCAATGGACTTGTGATGGTGAGGATGACTGTGGAGATGGTTTAGATGAGAGTGATGCTATTTGTGGTAAGTAGACTAATTTTAGTTCTGTATTATATCAGATCATACATACTGAAAGAGACTAAGTGACCCAAGAAGGTGGTGGAAAGGGAAGAAGTACAGCATCTCCCAAGAGCATGTGCTTTAAGGATAGGATATTGGAGGATATCCTCCCCCAGCCCTCTCCAGCCACCAGCTAGATACCTTTGTATGATTTGTGTGTAGTCTATCAGTGAAGATAGGAATGGCATGCCTGCATGGGCAAAAGGAGAACCAAACTCTTCTCCAATTCCCATCCTTGAGGTAAAACCCCTGTGTCACTATTTGAATCTTACATTTCAGTGGTAGGTGCCTGAAGACTCTAAAGTTGTTTTTTTTTTCCCCCAGTTCTTTCTCCTGTTCCTTTTAAGCTTTCGTATATACAGTCATAAGCATTATTGCATAACATTCCTCTCCAAATTCCCAAACCTTAAAATTCCATAAGGAATTGGAAAAATTTCCTTTCATTCTGGGTATCATTTGACTGTGAGTGTGTTACTGAATTATTTTTGAAGGAAAATTGTGTTGTGTCAAGTCATACTGTCACAATTTCAGGAGGCAGATCTGAATTGCAAGAAAAAAAAGAGATCATGATTACTTCAGATTTTTCAGTCTTACAAAATTAATATTTATATAACATGAAGTTAAACTTCATAAGTATCAAAAAATGGCAAATGAGTATCAGTGTACAAAAGTTGCCCTCTCACATAAATAGTACAAAAAATTTTTTTTACTATTTTATTAATTACTAATTAAAATTGGTAGAAACTATAATCTTCTTTTTAGTGAAATGTATTTAACTTATCTAAGAGAATACATTAATTGATGAGTAGCACGAAAGTTTACTCCCAATCAGAGTAAAACAAATCCTGGTATAAAATATTCTTACCTGGAGAAAAACCTGTTTAAAAAGAAATAATAATAAAAAATCAGTCAAATGAAGAATATGTTGAGTTACTTGCATTGGAACTGTCAGACATTTTCTTACTCCCACAACTATTGTATTTGGTACACATTGTTTTCTTCTACCTGGGCCTGACTCATGCGACTTTTGAATAGTTTTTGCCTTCTGGCACAGAGTATAGTGATGTGAGGATTATGCGGTTTACAAGATGTGTTCCTATGTTCAAGCAGTCCAAACATGCAGTCAAACATAAAGACCAAAATTGGTTTGAGAAGTTATTCTGTTGGATAGTTTTCATGAAGGTAAGGTAAATTAAATTTCCTTGGAGAAAATTAAGAGACTGAATAAATGGAAAGAATGGAAGAAATAGTAGATTGTCAAATTTCTACTGTAAAATACAGTCTTAACCAGTATGTTTGTCATACTGTGCAGAACAAAATCATCTTTCAGTTTTATTATAAAATAAGAAACCCTTACTCAGATCAGTTAGAACATGTTCAAGACTCACATGTAATGTTTTTTCAGGTTCGGTGACCTGTGCAGCAGGTACGTTCAGTTGCTTAGGCTCCCATGCCTGTGTTCCCCAGCACTGGCTGTGTGACGGTGAGAGGGACTGTCCTAACGGAAGCGATGAGCTGTCGACAGCAGGCTGTGGTATGTTTGCAGGTTAAACACGTATTGATGGACCACACGTAAGCATACATGCCATGATCCTTCAGTGTTTTAATCAGCCTAACATCCTCAGGCTTTGTTAATATATACTGAGGTACACCAGCTGAAGATCAGTATGTGTGTCACGTCACGGGCATTATACAGCATGTTTGCTAGTGAAAATTAGCACGTTATTGACTATGTACTTCTGTTGCTCTTCCTGAAGAAAATGCTGCTGCATGTCAGGGAGGTGGTACATCAGAAAGGGAAATACAGTTTTGTTTTCAATTTATTCTGGCTAATTGTTCAGATCTTGACATCTCTTGCTCTATAAACTGTTGCTTCCAGTTCTTCTGAGATAAATTTCTATTAAAAGCGTCAGGAGTTCAGTAGCAGTTTCCCTAGGGTGTTTTTTTTTTATGAATGTATATAAAAATGGTATGGGTTAAAAATATTGAAATATGTTCTCTCCACTGGATGCATATTCTATCACTTACCGTTTCTAGGCTGAGTGATATTTTTGAGTATTTACAGATTTTAATGAGCTTTTGTTCAGGAGCAGAGTAATATAGGAAGGACATCCCTACTTCCCAAATGTTCTTTTCCTCAGAGGCAGACCTTAGGTTGGTTATAGACATCATCAACTTCCGAAACCTCTCTGTCTGGGATTACATGAGATTTTAGCTATCTTTACTTCTTCAGCGATCTTTGTGGTGATGATTAACTTTTTCTGCTATTGAACTGTGTGGTGCTTTTTATATGACTCAAAAGTTATGGTTATTTCCATTGAATCCCATTTCATCGTTCTGTAAGAAAATGTCTGTATATCTTAGTGTTCTCAATTTCATTTATTTTTATGTACTGTATTTTCCTTAGCTCCTAATAACACTTGTGACGAGAATGCTTTCATGTGCCGTAACAAAGTCTGCATTCCCAAACAGTTTGTATGTGACCATGATGATGACTGTGGAGATGGATCAGATGAATCTCTGGAATGTGGCAAGTATAACAAAAGTAGAGTAAACAGAAAAATTTCAGACTTAACTCCAGGGCTTTCTGCAAAGTCTGTTACTTTGAGTCACTGTTAAAGAAAGTTCTTTGCTTTTTAATTTTTTTTTTTAAAGTTAACTTTTAAATTATGCGTTAATGAATACAACTTGGTATTACCTTGGAGCTGGAGCTACAATTATAAATTATTTGCTATAGTTGTGACTTACAGTTGATTGCTGATAACATTTAAGAGAATTTTTTTTTTACAGTGTTGCACTGATCCAATACAATTTTCTGTTAGCTGATAATCAAATACACACCTCAGTGTGTGACTAGTGTGCTAAACTCATTATAGTGTCATTTTAGGAAGGGGTTATGTTCTTTTATGAGAAAATTAACTACTTGTACATAGGAGGAATCAAGTTCCAAAACAGACTTTTCAAGATGTTATCAGGATATAAAAATAAAACACCTAATTCACCAAGATTTTAACCATGTGATTTCTAATTTGACTGCAAACTAGGTATCCTGATCATAGCTCTATTAGTTTCTAGAGCTAGACCTTTGCATCTTGATATTAAAAAAAAAACCAAAAAAAACACCACAGCACCTCTTCAGCAGCCAGTCTACTGAATGGGATGAAGTTTGGTTTGAAATATACTCCTAAAAGCTGAATTAAGGAAATCCATTTAAAAATCTAGAATTCTTTTTTCCCATTTGTATCATTGCAAGGTATAGTTTCTTGTTCTTTCTAGAGTATTATTCAAATATATAATAAAAATGGGACTGGTTATTGGAGTAAACAGTTTTTACTTGTATTAGAATTTGCATCTAAACAGATTTTAAAAGTTCACAGTCATTCTAATCCTTAAAAATTTCTTTGATACAAGTTTAGATGCCATTGTCTAATCCTGTCTTTTTAATGAAATCTTAATAACTAATTACTTATAAACAAAAGCACTAATTCAAGCTGGGGAGAGAACAAAATCCATTGTCCCTAAATTGCATCTCTGTTTCTCCTGTCAGAGACAGAATACTGAGCTAGATCAGCCACTATCTCATCCTGTAGTGTGTTTCTTATGTTCTTGAAAATTAAAAAAAAAGTAATTGGGAACCGTGTTCAAGAATATTCAGTTTCATCAAGAAGGTGAAATACTTTGTTTATGTGGCTGATCAAAAGACAAATACAGGAATAGGAAGGATTTTCTAGTTTCAGCTTTCTTTATGTCCTTTCAACCAGAGCAGAGGCAATAGTAAGCAGAAGCCCTTGTTCTGCACATTTGTGATGACCTTTCTGATGACGACATACTTGTGAAATGATGCTGACATGAAGTTAAGCTGTTGGTGTTTAAAACCTTGCACTCAAAGGTGCCTCAGGCAACCAAAAAGCTTCACCTTTTTCCACATCAAGCCAGCCTATCTTCCTTTCAAGCATGACCTATCTAAAAAAGAGAAAACAAACAAAAAAAAACACCTTCAGGAGACCACAGAATTATTTGAATTTCAAATAATGTTTGTAATTGGGGAAATAACCATTTTGAAAATAGTATGTTAACACATTTCTGAATGACATCTGTAGATATACAAGAGGTTTAAAGCTCTTGATGTAGATGGATATCTCATCCCAGACAGTCAAATGTTATGTTTCCATCTGCTATCAGAAAAAAAGCTACACTAGATAGAAGGAAATACAGTAATTTAAAAAAAAAAAAATTAACTTTCTGCTTCTAAAGAGTACAAAGCTATCAGTGCTCATTTCAGATGTTCACAGCTTCAGGACTTAATTCAAAGCTTCAGTAGTTACTATAATTTGGATATACTACTTGGATGAATCAATTTTTTTGAGCTTAAAATCTGCATTTTTTTTTTCAAGAGGAAAGAATGTTAAACGTATTCAACATGATTCAGATTTTTTTCAAAAAAGTTGCAAAATCATTCTTCATATTCAGAATGAGTGTTGCTATGTAATTCTTACTTTATAACTGTATTTACTTCCTTTTCTTTTTCTTGAGTTTTAAACTAAATCAAGGCTTGCTTTCAAGGCCCTTTAAAGGCCTACAGATTATTTGAGACAGAATTTATACACATAGAATATAGGAAAAATTACACTTTTCCAAACAGGAACATACGTTTTTTCAGTCGGCTTAGTGTAATGAATCTTACAAGTAAATATCTTACAAATAGAAGGTGATTTTCCCCTGGGAATTTTTCGACTTTCTGTTTCAAAACTGAATAGAAAAAACCTACATTTGTGCTGACCATTCTAAATTTTTCTACTGCTTTGTTGTTTTTGAACTCTAGGTTAAACAGCTGTGTTCTAAGAAGCAAATGTATGTCTGTGGTTTCTTTACTTCATTATATATTATAATTTTCTATTAGAAATCCACTTTGAAAATTTATACATTTTATATAGAGAGAGAGAGAGAGTTTATGGTCTTAGAAAATGTGTGTTTAGTGTGGTTAAAATGATTAATGTTCTGTGTTTTTTAAAGGGAAAGCATGTAGCAGTAAGCATATTGTAAAAATATTTTCTGTGTATAGTAATTTCTAAAGTGTCTATTAGAAAGCTATTTCCTAATAATAACAGAAAGTTAAATTACACCTAATAGAAAGCATACTGGTTATTGAGAGCTGCATAAATATGTCATACATATGTGGGAATTGGTTTTTGACTATACTTTGCTGCATAAGAGACATTTGATTTCTCTTTTGGTAGACACACGTATAAACATTTAACACTTTGTATCTCTTTACAGAAAAAAATATATTTTTACTTACATTGCTATATATAGGCAAAATTTCATGTCAAAATTGTGAAGCAAAGTATGAAGTCACTGATTACTATATTTCCAGGGTATCGTCACTGTCGTCCTGGAGAGTTCACTTGTGCTGATGGAAGATGCCTGTTAAATTCCCAGTGGCAATGTGATGGTGATTTTGACTGCCCAGACCATTCTGATGAAGCACCTATAAACATAAAATGCAAAAGTTCAGGTTTGTATTTAATTTTTTGAATAACTTGTGTGACCTTTCTTTTTGGAAAGGAATGGTTTAGGACTGTAGCTAGGCAGATAAAAACTCGTAGCTGAATTCTCCAGTACTTTCATGGTGCTATTCCCTATGTCTTGAAAGGAAAATGTGTTGTCAGTCCTCAGCATCCAAAACCTCACCCTACAAAGTTCAAGCCATCAGTTCCTGTGGTGTAAGATGGCTGCTAGTTCGCTAGTGTATAAATTCTGTTAGTACTAAAATAAGACAATATTAACGTAATTATTGGCAAAGTGCTTGCCCTGAAAATGTTAAATATATTTAATATGCTCATCCCACCGAAGTAGATCACACAAAAGGGGATGTTAGGTTGTTCTTGCTATATTAAGAACTGGTCTATTTTTCTTAGCAAATCACTGACCAAATGTGATTTGTTTTATTGATATTTTCTACTTGCATAAGTTTGCTGAGGTCTGGTTTTTGAGTGGAAGATGAATCCTGGTGTGTATATCATATCCTATTTTGTGGCTTTTTGAAAGACCAATTCTTCTGTCTAAATCTTATGACTTTATTGTACAGTAGCCCAGTCCTTTTTTACCAATTTTGATGGAAAACACTCATTTGCTTTGCGGTAAAGCAACATACCTGCTCTAACTAGAAGTGTTCTGATTCTGATTTGGAGAACCTGAATGTAGGTGCGCTGACATATTCGAGTTTTGCCAAACAGGAAAAAAAAAATATATGCATCTCTTCAGACAAGGAGTGCATCAGAATTCAGTCGGTTGTGTTACCAAACAGTTCAGCATCCACAGGCAAGAAAAGCCATGTGTTTTAAGTTTTGCAAACTATTGAACGATATTTTGTGCAGAGAGGGTTCTCAATTAAATGGAAACAAATGTATAGGAAGAAATAATAGGTGAAGTATTCACACATTTTCCAGGAGAGGAATAACCCTTTAAAAACACTGAAATGTTAAAAATAAAAAATAAGTATTATAATACTATCAATGAAAACTGAATATTCAATTTTTGCACAATTATTTCATCTAACGTGCACACATTGCAGCTGTCCCATGAGAAAATTAATTCCAAATACTAATAGACTACACAAAGCTGTGTTCTCTTTTTTGTTTTCCAGAGCAGTCATGTAACAGGTCTTTTTTTATGTGCAAAAATGGAAAGTGTATTCCTCAAAGTGATGTTTGTGATAACAAAGAAGATTGTAGTGATGGATCTGATGAGAAAAGCTGCCACATTAATGAATGCCTCAGTAAGAAAGTTAGTGGCTGTTCTCAAGATTGTCAGGATCTTCCTGTTGGATACAAGGTGAATAATCACAAAATGTGGTGTAATGTAATGCAAATATTTAACTGTTTAACTACTGTGTGATTATAATAAAAATCCAGTATATTGTACTTCCTTGTAATGAAGTAGCTTACCTACCATAGTAAGAACTTTCAAATTTTTATTTCCATTAAGCAAACAATTGCCAATTGTATTTAAGAAAAGGTAAAATATATACTTTAAACCTGTGGAAAAGAACATACAGTCCTTAAGTACAACAAATCATACTGTTGTATAAGAGCACTGAAAATTAGTTATGAAAAAGGAAACACATAGGAATGAATAAGGTTTCTCCAGATTTTTTTCTAAATCAAAGACACTTACAGAAATATTTAAACAGAATATCATTGCCTTAGTTGCAGAGTAAAACCATCCCATGTCTACATGTGATTGATTGTATTTTCTGAATCACCTGAATTTGCTCTTTGGCCTTGAGATGCAGAGAGGAATACTTCTTGGGTATTACGTGAACCATAGCCAATGACTGCACTAACCAGTAAACAGAAACTGAGAATAGAAGAGAGATTGTTTTCAGGATTTTAATTCTGAAGTAACCCTGACTGCACCCCGAAATTATTCATCTTTTCAATAAAATACTAGCCCACTGAGAACCAAATAAAATCTGTCCAACATGACTTTGCTCTAAAGGTATTCAAACCTCTGAAACCTCATGTTCTAGTCAGGAGGCCATGGACTAGAGAACTGGAGACTACCTGGAGACTAGGTTGGGTACAGCAAAACCCGTGTTGAAGTACCATTCTTGTGGAGAAAGCATGTCATGGGTCTCTGCAGAAAATAATACAGAGGCTACAGGAGGGGACATGATACCAAGTCTTCCACTGATGAAACTGTGCCCCTGTTTCAAAAGCTCTCTACCTGGTTGTGTGTTGCATCGCTCACATTGCGTGTGATAAGCTTGCCATGGTGATCATTGGACCCCAATAAAAATCAGCTTCAAGAGTTCTCATTGACATTACTGTACCTGTTATGCAGAATGCTAGATGTTATCAATGCTTCAAGAAAGATTATTTAAAACTGTATATATTTACAAAAAAAGCACATGTACTTGAAAATAAAAAACTCCAAAGGGTCCATCCATCATGTTTTTTATGGAAGAATCTTTTCCACGTTTGTGAGAAGATGTGCTGTGTTTTTTCTTCAGTTAAAGAAGAAAGAATAATTACTCATTCTGCGGGGTTATTTGGGAGGGAATGGTACTTAGGATCACACCAGCAATAGCTGAAAAGCAGTGTTGGTATGTCTGCCTATAAACAGTATAAATAGCGGTGTAATTAAGATGTTGCTTGAAAAACTGAGACTACATGAAAAAGATTATAATGCTAACATATTCAACAGAAAGTACTTAAGATAACAAACAGAATCAATGAATCATTCAAAATGAATGTATTTGTTTTTCTTTCCTAGTGCAAATGCTGGCCTGGATTCCGGCTGAAGGATGATGGCAAAACGTGTACAGATATTGATGAATGTTCAACTGGATTTCCCTGTAGCCAGCAATGCATCAATACATATGGAACTTACAAATGCCTGTGTGCAGATGGGTATGAAATACAGCCTGATAACCCAAATGGCTGCAAATCCCTTTCAGGTATCACTTTTTTTTTTTTTTTTAATCTACAGCTGTATCCAAAGTAATTTGTGAATTACCTTAGCTCCAAGGTCTGTGTTACCCTTTTATGCAAGATAAACGGAGTTACTTTGAAGCACACTACTTCTTCAATAAACAATAAGAATGTGATTCAATGTCTGAATGTAAGTCCTGGTTTTACCATGTGTTATGCTCAAATCATTTTTATGAGATAGTTACAGTGGATTATGAAAGCCTGAATTAGTAACTTTTTTAGAAAAATGTATTAGGAAAGTTAAAATACATCACTTAACTCTACTTCTGAGTCACATGATAATAGTATGCTTATGATAAGTGTTTAAAAGACTTCTGCTGGTTTATGTCATCAACTTTAGAATGTTAGAGCATACTTCAAGCTTCCCGATATGAAAAAGAGGTACAGGAAAAAATAATAGAAATTGCAAAAGCCTCCAGTCTTACACGTAATACACAGTAAAGTTAAAGATATATAAAAACAATGATGATTTCCTCACCCTTCTGTCTATGGCACTGATGTTACGTGCTTCAGTGAGCAGAATTCACTAGATCAGTGAAAGGAAGATCAAAATGTCAACAGGAAAAGAAAACCAAAAACCCCATTATTGCGTTCTGCTGGATTTCCTTCCAGCAATCTTCAGCTTAGGCAGACTCCTCCTTATTCCAGTCTTGCACAAAGTTGTTTGTGTTTTGTTTTTAAATATCAAAACCATCTATTTTCTTTCTAAAAGACAAGACTGGAACCTCTGTCTGCCTCACATTCCTGGCTCAGGTACTTCCCTGAGTAATCAGAGGAAACCCAGGACAGGGCACAAATACAGTACCTGGTTTTTGCTTTACTCCTGTCTCATGCTGTGCAAGCCACTTGTCCATTTAGAAGCCATAGGTCACTGAAATGAGAAGGGGAGCTGGAACAGACCATAGTACAGTTTACTGGAGTTGTAGTGGATCAAACTTCAGCAGTGATCATGACAAAGCTGTTTGTGCTGTGGCAAGGATGGTTGTGTGGAAAGGAGTTGCCAACACATGAACGTTTGTTCTAACGCTGATTTCTTGCCTGCGTTGCCTGGAACTCTTCACATTACAGCCATTCTCCACAAACACTAACTTTCAGTGCTGAGGAGGATGCCTTGGGTCATTTAAGAACTGGAGAATGTCTTAAGAGTTGAGCATAAAATGCAAGCAAGGTAGTACAGTACAGCACAAGAACAGAGCAGATTGGACTACACGTTACATTCCAGAATATATAAGCAGCAGATACAAGACTTAAATACATTTTAAATTGTTGTTAGGTTTTTTATTATTATTATTTGAGCTGAGGTCTCTGTTAATTGGGATAAAGACAGGTTTTTAAAATATATATATATTTTACTATTATGTATGTCAGTGTCAGAGGTGTTTCAAAGTAAGTGATGCATGAATGAGTATCTGAAGGAATATTATTTTTTTATAAACTAGAAAACCATGCATAAAAAAGCCAAATCTGGTTTCAGTTTAGAGTTAGAGAATCAAGGTTTGTCCAAGTAGCTGTTTGTGTCTGTACTGTTCAGAGTATCGAAATCTCAAAAAGCGATGGTCGAAACCTGCTCGGTTTGCAACCACGAGAAATAATAGCCTCCGTGATAATTTGAAAATGAATGTTGGAATTAGAACAAGTGGTATGAAATATATTTCAAATTAATCTCTGACATTAATTTAGCATAAAATACAGTATGCTTCCAATATTGCAAAGGCAAAAAAATAAAATTACATTGAAAGTTATATACTAATTGATTGCTTTGTTCATTTTTATACTGCATCATTGATCTTTCTTGGAACATTTGAATGTTTTAAATATTTCTTTCATCCATAACATTGATCAGAGCATGTAACATTTATTTTTCAAACCATCTGTATTTCAGCATTGTATTCCTTATTTTCCATAAATTAACGTAAAAGCTAGTCTAATATATTCTTTCTCCCGGGGTTTAGATGAGGAACCTTTCTTAATTCTGGCTGATCATCATGAAATAAGAAAAATTAGCACTGATGGATCCAACTACACTTTGTTGAAACAGGTATAATCATAGTACCATGCTCTAAGTTTAACTCAATACTTTTATTCTTTTCTAAAGTGTGCAACTGACAGAAACACCATCCTACAATTGGCGTTGTATGCACCATAGAGCAACTGCAATATCTTCAGAGTTTTTATAATATTTTAAATTGACTATTTTATCTGAATTTTACATAAAGCTCAGGCAGTTGTTTTGCCAGTCATCTGATGTACTAAAAAAAATTATGTTACTTGTGATCCTCTTCCATCACAATATGTTTTACGCAATTTGTTTATTTCAGTAAAAAAAAAAAAAGGAAATACAAAAACCTATTTGGCCATGTATTATTTGGGCAACTTACTGTCATAATCCAAATCTTTTTCTTTTATTTAGACAATTCCAAGATTTGCAATATTCCGATACATGAACATATATCTTTGGCTAAATCTAATTTTTAATATAATAGCTCTAAATTATTATAACAGGGGAAAAAAAAATCTTATTTGAAAAAATCATGCAAAAATAGAAAGTCCCCCAGTAAGTACAGAGCTGTCATTTTGAGCAGTTTCTGCTCTGCTTCTATGCTTCACCTAAGTGTAGTTACTTGCCATAGATTAGCATTCCAAAATATGTTTTCATCAAAACATCTATTTCTTTGAGTACTAATTAATGAATTGTAGAAAGACTAGAAAATTGTTTATTGCAAGTCAATAGCATTAGGCTTTTTGTGACTTCTTGTGTCAGTAGGCTTTGTGTCTTAATGTCACAAGAGATGTGCTCAGGTCACAACAGTAGTTACAAAATTAACCATCTTGCATTAAACATTGACTTTATTTAAGCATAGCAAACGTTATGTTGAAGTCTGCTTGTTCTTCTGAAATCCTTCTGGCTACCTCTCATTTACATCTCACTGCCTCTCTCCTCTTTTGCTGGTATATCTATTAATAGAAGCTTGTGAAAAGAGGGGAGCAACACTAAATTTTCTTTATGGTTGGTGCTCAGAGATTGGTTCAGAGCTTCGTCAGTCTTGAATTTAATGGACTCCTCTTCAGTATGTTAGAGACCATGGAGCTCCAGCCACTGAAGAGAACCTGTGTTTTCCGTATCCCATTAATTCACTAGTCTAATAAATACTTCTGCTATTGAACCTACTGGCCTGTGATCCTCCAAATATGGCATTTTTAAAAGTATCAGGATTTAAAACCAAAAAGGGAGCTATACCAGCAGAACAGGTGGGCTGTCTTCCTCATAAGGACATCTTTTTGTCCTTGTAATGTTGTGATGGATCAGCTCTTCCTTAGACATCTGCCAGATGAAGGCAAATACCAAAGCTGCTCAGGCAAAAGAGCAGAACCCTTCTCTGTGTGTTTGATCTGTGCTTTCTCTTTCTAACAGTTGGTCATATAAACTCAGAGTGAAGAAGCAGAAAGTAGGAATTCATTCAATCTTCTCTGAGTTGTTATGTGCCAGCTTTTTCCTCTTTTTTTTTTTTTCAAATATACATAAACAGTACAACTGTTTGCATTCCATCTCATGTATGTTCTTTGCCTTCCATTTCCTTCACTCCAAGTCACCAAAATTCTTAGCGTTTCCGTAGACAGAGTAGATAGAATCTTCCTCCTCATTATTTGTGATTTTTTACCTGCATTTTTTTAATAGGGGCACCAAGGCAACACAAACCACACCCTAGGATACTGTGTTCAACAAAACAAACAAAACCACAGGTTTAAGAAGAGAGACCAATGCAGCTGATGCCATTTAAAAGCTTCCTTGTACCTTCTAAAATCAGATTACATGAGAAATGACAAAGAATTACGCTAGGAGGACTTAAAAGTGACATAGAGATCATGAAGAGGAGATGTTGTCTGAACAGAGAACTCTATTGCAGATGTACAGAAATAATTTTACCTGCAGTTGATGTTCTGATAAATATTGGAACTAAACGGACTCAAAATTAAACACCTGGAACCAAAGACTTGCAGGCAGTCAGTTCTCTTTATTAGCCTGGATACTTAAGAGACTTTTACAGTGTTGTAGAAAATGTAAATATAAGGCTAATTTTTCACAAATTAGTGAATTTGATTTATAGAAGATTATACATTTTTAGAGTCTTTTGTATTCATTCACCTGTTGTCTCCTTTGTTAAGAATTTGGGTTGGGGGTTTGTCTGGAGATGAATTTATACTAATGGTAGAAAAAGAGTCAGGAAAAGTATTTTGCAGCGCAGTTATGACTGACAGAGCTGCAGTTGATTTTGTTAAAACACTGTGTGCATGGATATGTGTTTTTTAAAATGAGAGTGGTCCTCCAGCTCTGTTGTTTCAGGCTTCCTTTAATGATGGTTTGTGCAGCCTAAACACTCTCTACGCTTTGATCAAAAGATAGATTTGCAGTATTGCAGTGTAGTAGTTAGTAGATAAGCCGTGTATCGCTTTCTGTGCAATTAAACATTGTTGTTCGTAGTTGTTTATTTTAGACTTGGCTAGTCCAGCACATTCCCTCTACAGCTATGAATTACGTTAACGAGGGAGGTTGCTGATCTACCTACAAGTAGGCTGTCGTTGGGCTGATAAGGGAATTGATTAGCCGATCGTGCAGTTTTAAAAGGATTGCAAACTGCATCTGTTCTTTTTACCACTGCTGCTCCATCGTTGATTGATAACAACACCTTTGTATATTAAGAACACTTTTGATTTCGCTACATGTCAGGAGGTTAAGCAGATTATGGAGCAGGGCTTTGCTGTTCTCAGATAAGGAAATAAGAGCCATCATCTCAATGCAATACCTCTTTCTTATCTGCCATTTGGGATGAAAAGCCATCATTATATGACTGCTCTTTCCAACCTATAGGAGTATCTCAAATATCATTGCTCTTTCTTACGACATGTTGGCTTCCTAATTGGAGCCAGAGGAGACTTCCAGATGCCTATTGGATCTCTAGCTTCACAATTCATGTATATACTACCTCTGTGTGTGTGTGTGTGTGTGTACATGCACATATATATATGCACACAGTACCTCTAATATAACATCTAAGAATTGAAAACCTCCTTATTAATGAATTAAAATTGATGCTTTTAATCACAGTTTTGAAGTCCTGATTACTTTATATTAATAATTAAATGTTTTCATTAAGTAAAGATAGTAAATGTTATGCTATATCCGAGTTTATTGTTATAAAATGAATGTCGTCTAGTTTGCAAAGTAATGCCAAAAGTAGTGATTAACAGAGAAATTGAACAAAAGTTAAAGTTGATTTCAATAATAGGAATGAAAAACACTTAAGTTTCATTTATTTTCATACGTCACCTGCATTTTTGAAGTGAGATAGTTCTTTGTCACCATATTAATTTCTGTTACAATTTTTGTCCTACTCTGGTTGTTCACAAGTAATATATGGAGAAATGGGAGAGGTACTTCAAAAATATACAGTCAGTAAAATAAAGCATTTTGAATGTTACATGCGATGTCTTTTGCATTCTGAATGCTATCCAACAGTTTGTATTCAAACATTTGAATAAGCAGACTTTTTTTTTTCTATTTTTAGGGGCTGAACAATGTGATTGCAATAGACTTCGACTATAGAGAAGAGTTCATCTATTGGATTGATTCCAGCAGACCAAATGGCAGTCGCATAAACAGAATGTGTTTAAACGGAAGTGACATCAAGGTAAGTGCGGATTAATAATGTCACTACTAGAATTAACTTTTTTTTTAGCATTTTAGGAAATGGTCCCTCGTGCTTTTAACCCAGATTGTGAGGTTTTGTTGTATGCATACAAACACAGCATGAGCTAGCAAGTCCTAGTAAAATTTAATTGCCTTTGTATCCTATTTGAAGTAGAGATAGGGACTAAGAGGACTCTGTTTATGAGCTAAATTCATTATGACTTAATTGACAGTTGTCTGAATTGGTAGTTCATTGTGGTTTACATGACACCAAAGAAAAAAGATGTACAATTATATGTAAACTGTGTAAATACACTGATGTGTTATTTCTTCATGTACAGTTTTCCATAGTCTTCAGTTTGTTTTTGTCTTAAGTCCACTACACTGATAATGAAAATAACTCAATGTCTTTTCTGGGAGTAATCCAGGGTAAAACTTTGCTCCCATTTAGGCACAGCCTGTCTGTTTTGTCCCAGTAGCGGAATAAGTTCACAAATCCACTATTAAGCATATTTGACTTACATGAACATTTTTCCAGAATTTGTGATAAGCAGTAAGGAATTCTTCTTTGCTTATTCTCTTGTATCTGACCTTCTTTACCATGGAACAAGCGAGCAGTAACATATCCTGTGAATTTTATTCTCTCATTCCACACCAGTAAATTGTGCAGAGAGAAAGGATTTCTGTTTTGCATTCACAGCTTGGCTCATGGACTGGCACATCCTCAGAGCACATTGACTTTAGTCTTTTTGAGGGTTAAGGTTTGAAACTGACTGTCATCAGTGAACCTTGTTTCCATCCTTCACACAGAAATAATTGTTCTTAGAATTTAAAAGGAATGTGGATGAGTATGGCACTCTGATTCCATTGGGGTAAAAATAAAAATAAAAACCAGCATGCACTCAAAAGTTCTAGCGAGTCCCTGCAAAGATCCTTCCTGCAAAAAAATAGGAGACAGGCAAGCATGGGGTTCAAAATACATTACATCCTTGAATCGTATTTATTGCCGTTACATGTTTTACAAAGTATCCCATTCAGCTTCTTATCGGTTCTAGATGAACCTGTATTTTGTTATTTTAGGGAACATTTATGGGACTGAGGATGACATCAGACTTTCTCTAATTTTAACTATTTCAAGAAGAGCAAAGAAATTTTCCCAGTCAAAAAGCTGTTACTGCCTGCTGGGAGGGTGCAAAAAACTTGTATTGCTTTCTGATGATGTAATAATGAATCAATTTTTAAGGAAAGGTTTCAGAAATTTGAACAAACATTAGAAAAAAAATGGATTGGGAGCATGGAGGGTATTTCTTTTTCCTTCATTAATATTTTGCTGTTTGCAGAACGAGTGTAATCTTGATGGGGTTTTACTCAAATAAGATGCCAAAATAAAGTAAAAATTGTGAAGATAAGTTCATTTAATTTTCACAATAACAACTGGGTTTTTTTCTCTGAAAACTTGGCCTAGATTTGGCCTCTGAAGGCTAAAAATGTTTGCAAAAGTTATCAAGAATTGTGGATTGTAATTGTCTGATATTCTGTCAGTAATCTTTTAAATAGGGCTACATGATAACTTTGTCTCTATGACTTAGACTTTAATAGGTTGCCATAGCACATATTTAAATATTAAAAATAATTAGTTTCCCAGTAAACCTGTATATATTTTTTTTTTTTGTCATGAAAGAGGGTTTTATGGTTGACAACCTTTTCCTTTGAAGTAAGAATTTCTTATTTTATTTCCTTCATACTTCTTGTTTTATTATTTACTGTAAATAAATATACTATTCATGTAAATTATACTATTTGACATATTAGCTAGGATTTCCCTTTTAGAGGATGGAATCTTTTCAGCATACCAACTCTACCTTTCTCGGTCTGGGAAACCTGATGGCATCTCATTTTTCTTCTGCATCTGGTCATGGAGGAGAAGTTTATACAATTGAAGCAACAAGGCTTTTGCAAAAATGTGTTCATAGATTAACACAGCTTTTTATGTATACTGTTGTAGATTCAAATTAAATCTGTTATTGGATTATGTACATTATGTATATTAAATGTCACACTGGTGATCTCGCTTACTGGAATAAGCCTAAAGTGACCCTCCAAAGGAGAAGTCATCAGAAAAGAGAGACTAATTACTTTGCTTGATGCTTCTAGATAGTGTATCTAAACCACTATATAAGTTTGCAGAGCTATACATTTCTACGTAAAATGTCCCATGTTACAGTGCAGCAGTTGCTGCACAAACACATTTATAAAACAGTGAAGCTGATAGTGCTAAGATATTAGAAAGCAAAGTATTTTGTTCATATTAAAAAATTAAGTGCATGTCTGGATTTAATTTTGAAAGATTTTATAAGGTGATAAATAATGTAATAACCTGAAAGGGTGCTTTTACGTATTCATAACTATAAAATTGGTTTAAAGTATCTCACAGCATCCCTTCTTATCTTGAAGGCTTTTCAGTATCTTCAAATGGTAAATAAAATTAAAAACATTGTTATCCATAATGAGGTTTACATATCAAGTTTATACTCTAGTGCACGTGCTTTAAGTGGTGAAGGTGATGACAATTTAGCATGTACACTACGGTAAGTAAACCTGTTATTAGTACTTCAGAAATCTCAAATATTTTCAAGTATTGCTCTCTCTGATTTTTTTTTCTTAAGTTCTAGTTGCAGAGACCTAATCAGGACCTAATCAGGAATAGAATAGGTCAGAACAGACCTTATCAGGAATAGAATTTTTAAGCTTAGAAGCAGTTGGACTCTAATGACTGGGAATATTCAAATGTCACTCAACACTTAACATTAAGTACTTCCAGCCAAGCAAGATTGAGTCATACAATCATGATGAGGTTTGTAATCATGTATATCTACAGGCATTTGTTCAAGTCTTAAAATTATTCAAGTCATCAAAAACCTTGAGAGTATCACATCCCTGTCAGTAGAGTGTAGGCTTTCCAGTAGGGCACTAAGCTGTTTCTCTCTCTTAGTTTATTCCTTAATGATGTAGTCCTTTTGAAATTTAAGTAATTCTTAGAAAGTTCCTCTTTCTTATATGAATTTTGGAAGTAAGAGTATAGTATTTACTTTCCAGGTAGGTAATCTTTTTCTTTTTGCCTGAGTCGAGTGCCCTTATGGTCTTTCTGTCACGCTGACATATGGCACCGCTGTGATATTAAAATGAAAAATATATGCCACTGTAGACTGGTGAGAGAAATGGTGAGCTAACAAGCAGGCATTTTTGAGGGCGCGCTACGGGGAGAGAAACCCCATCACCATTCTGTTCTGTGAAAAACAAAGATATTAGGAAAGGGGAAAAAGTATTCTTTTTAAGTTAAAACAAAAGGAGAATTAGAAACTGAAGATGAAAAATAAAAGATACAAAAATCTTAGAATTTAGTGCATAATGCAGGGAACTTAGAAATTTGATATTTACTACATCATGGTATTCTCCACTCTCCCTTACTATAAGAAAAGTGTCACATTGTCTTAGTTCCTTAAGAAGTGTCATTACTTCAGAAGTGTCACTGTTTAGCAGGGAATAATACCTATTTTTTTCCATATTGTATGTCACTGTATCATATATCCAGCCTTTCAATATTCTGTTATTATTAATTCTTTAATTGTTGTTCCTTTTCCCAGTATTTAGATGAATAATTGCTGTAACTTCTGCTTTTCTAGGTAGTTCACAATACAGCTGTTCCCAATGCACTGGCTGTCGACTGGATTGGGAAGAACCTCTATTGGTCTGATACTGAAAAGAGAATTATTGAGGTGTCTAAACTCAGTGGCTTATACCCTACTGTCCTTGTGAGCAAGAGAGTGAAGTTTCCTAGAGATCTCTCTTTAGATCCTCAAGCTGGGTATGAAGCAACCATTTTGCAGTAATCCATATTTAATTCTAATTTTATATTTAAATATTTTTATGAAAACAGAAGGAAGCACTAATTAGGTTTTTTTGGGTTTTGTGTTTTTTTTTGTTTTTTTTTTAATCAGTAGTCTAAAATGCATTACCGGTGCTTATAACATCAGCACATATCAAATTGGTATAACAGAAAGATGAATGCAGGTATTAAACCACATTTTTTTATATACATTTACTAGTGTGCAAATGTTTTCTTTTAGTAAGAGTAAAGCAAGTATTTAAAAAAAAATCATTTTTTAAGAAGTGTTACTAAGTAACAAAAGGTTCATATTGTATGGAACATAATTGTTATGTTTTGTTTCGTTTATTCCCTGAACTGTCTTGCTAGCACTCTTTTCTATTTGTACTAGTTTTCAGAATAATTTGGGCTATTCAGTTACCACATATTTGAAGACTTTTTTTCTTATATTTTTGCATGTTAATCAAAGAGTAAAAATGTCTAATCTTACATAATTTGAAGATAGCTTTTGCCTTTTTTACTCTATAAAATTAAAATTTTGATTTTCACACAAACCTAATAACTGGACTGATTCATTATTTTAGGATACATTCAGTTAAGTAGTTTATTTTAGGAGAAGTAGTTTATAACTAGTTTTCAGGAATTTGAAATGATCATTATGCTTGAAAAATTTTTTGCAACAACAATGATAAGAAGTGAGATCTGCCTAGTTAAAGTAACTCGTTAACTGACAGCTTTAATTGCTAATTTTCTTAATTATTGCATGACTTACAATTAATTTATTAACATAAATCCCTGCTGGTATTCTGAGTGCAGTTTTGAGCACCACCACCACCATTTTTGGTTTCTTGACTGGTCTGGGAGCTGTGGGAACCATGGACTTTTTTTTTCACAGTTATACTATAAATTTAATTTAATATGTTATTTTTACAGAATCACAGAATAGTTGAGGTTGGAATGGACCACTGAAGGTTGTCTTGGCCAACCCCAAGAGATAGAACCCCTTTTTCCTTTTTTCTGTTTGTTTTGTTATTTTTTTTAATTTGTATTTTTTAAACGGATACTTTCTAGCCATTTCTATTTGATCAAAACCAAATCAGCATTAGAGAGACTCAAATAAACTGTCTAACCATTTCATACCAGCATCTAATTCAGAAGATAGAAGAGGAAAACTATTTATATTCTTGAAACTGAAAATGCCTAGAAATATTGAGGTATTTCCTAATTATGTGATATATGTGTAATGCCGCAGACATTGCTCTCTGGGTCTGTATGGCTCAATATGCAGTTAATGCCTCGTAAAGAGAGACCTCTCAGTTCACAAGTAAACCATTGTCTGTATTAACACTATGCACTAAAACGTCACTGTACATTTAATTGCAAGTCATTAAAACCTGGCAGATTTCTAACCAAATGTATTCTCTTAAATATTTATGCTGCATATAATGTCTAAGAAAAATAATACTTGGGAATCGGAAGACTTAATTTAATAACAAATATAATATAGACTATGTAAAGTTTGCCGTGTGTCCTTGCAGATCAGAATTCCATATTCCATTGTATTTTGTGGAACATTAGGATACATTTGTGTAAATTGGATGAATAAAGCTGTTGCAGTGTCTTCTAACACTCTTACAGTATCATGGCAAATTAGTGATTCTTTTCCATCTCTAAATCCTAAGGCTCAAGTAACCATCTCACGTGTCAGTGACAGGAGAAAATTTCTGAGGAGGTCTGGACTCTACTGAAACAAAGAAAACCAGTTTATTTTCTAGCTAAGAAATGTAACCTATCTACTTCACTATTTTTAAGGAAAAAGCCATTTTCTACCGGTTCTTAGATCACTGGGTTTTCTTGTAACTGTACCCTTGCTTCCTTGTAAAATTTGTCAGGGAGGGTATAGACGTTTCTGAACTCTATTCAAGATACCAATGCATAGCATCTCTCTCTGGTTAGCTGGGCATCCAGGACATGTTCCCTGTGTATGCAAGAATCAACTCTACAAAGTTTGTACAGAGAATCCCAGTCTTCCAGGAAGGTCTAGATATACCCAGGCATAATAAACATCTTGTGCTCCTGGTCAGTGCACAGCATGTGTGCAGGCTTCACTTTCCAAGGTTAAGCCTCCTTTTTTTTTTTTTTTTTTTTTTTTTTTAATTAATCTATTTATTTGCTTGTTTGTTTATTTTAATATTTATTTTTATATGGAAAGCTGCTGGAAATAAAATCTGTGTTTGCATTTCAAATTCAGAGTTAATGTTTGAAATAGTATTAATTGTAGCTTAGTTTTTTTCTAACAAATGAGAAATGCTGTATCAACTATATTGCTGGTGCCATACAACACCAATGATATATTTCCAAAGAAAATTTTCTTTTGGAGTCTGTAGAGAAAGTTACGTTTCTCTGTGGCTTTTGTGGAGCAGGCTCAGTGCCAATGTATTGCACCTGTATTTTGCAGGGTACCTGTGGCTATTAAGAATACGAGTTGCATCTGGGTTTTTGAAAGCCTGTCCAAAACCGTGCAGAGTAGAGGCGTATCAGTTTCCCAGCTGGAAAGGTCTTTCCTGAGGTTCTAAGTAATGGCATACAACAGTAGGAACATGCATCCATGTAACAAAGAAAAAGATTTTTTACTTTTTTTTTTTAAAGAACACACTGTATTGTGGCTAAATAGTTATTGAAGAGAAAATTGCTACTCAGCTTTCCAACAGTCTTCCTCAGTGCTTTACGTATTTTCTAACCCTTTATGTGAGAAATTGTTCTAATGTTTTGGAACTTGTAATTCTTGACGTAATATAATTTGCATCATATTACTGTTAACAACAAAACAAAGTTTTGTAATATGTTTAAAAAGAAAAAATAACTGTAATGCAATATTTGTCATAAGTTTAGTAGTGATGGCATCTTTGCAGAATATGTGAAGATTTGTGAAGTCCAGTCTGGGCGTACTTCAAATTCTAAGATATCAAGACCAAGAAATTTAAATGCACTTTTTACTAGTTCATAATGAATTTTATGAAATCACGTCTAATACGAGGACTCTGCTATTCAAACTCTTTACATTTGTCACACTCATTTACAGACAGGTCTAGAAAAATAAAAAAAATCTATCTGGAAAATGGAAATGTTATAGAATAATTGCTGGTTTATTCTTGAGATCAACTAAATTAATTATTTTTTATTATTTTTGCATCTTTAAATGAAGTAGTTATTGTATTTTGTTTTTATAGATACTTGTACTGGATTGATTGCTGTGAGTATCCTCACATTGGCCGTGTTGGTATGGATGGCTCCAGTCAAACAGTTGTCATAGAAACGCAGATATCTAGACCTATGGCTCTTACAATAGATTATGTCAACCACAGACTGTATTGGGCTGACGAAAATCATATTGAGTTTTCTGACATGGATGGATCTCATAGACATAAAGGTTGGTCAACAGCTTTTTTTTTAAATATAATTTTTAAATTGAAGGTGTTCTACATGCTATGTGTAAATATGTAAAAACTGTACTTTAAAACATTTTTACAGCCCTTATTGATACATTTTTCCCCTTTTATCAATATTTTTCAAGTTGCTTTCATGTTCCTTCTATGTTATGAATAATTTTTAAACATGTAGTAATACGTGTCCATGGCAAAAATATTAAATGAAAGCAGAAACTCTAGGAACAGACTCAGCAATTAGAGGCTGCCCCGTCATTTCTACACTTTAGTATATATACTATATATTTGTAATAAATATATCTTTGCAACACATGTTCTTGGACAAGTTACCAAGCCAGTGAAACTTGTCTGTTAAAACTGGAAGGGCTAGGTCCTGTGTGCCATGTGTCAGAAGGTGGCTGAAAGCAGCCTTTTCTCCAGCCTGAGGAGGGCTGGAAATGCCCAGCAGACTGCTCAGCGTGAGTCAGTAAGGAGACCAGCATTGCAAATGTAATTTGGGGCTTTCCTGGTAGACGGGTAAATTAATAACTTTTGGAATAATTATCTAATGAAGTAATCTTTATCCCTGATTCTCATGTGACAGATAGATAAAAGATACTAACTTTTCAATTATAAAGTATTTTAAACAAAGTTTTACACTATGATGAATAGTGCTCGTATTCCATATGGTATAATGATCTTTTGCTTTAATTCAAATATATTAAATACTCAATATCAATGTGTTGGGTTTTGGGGGGGCTTTTTTTGGAGATGTAACAGTGTTACTTGAGCTCCCTTCCACAAGCTTTACCCAAACCTCACAACTTCTGCTATCCTGGCAGAACTTCATGTGTTTGGGCTTTTTTAGGCTTTTGTCTCATACTGAGAGCCTCCAGGTTTTCTCCAAACCAGAATTCATGAAATAAATACTTTATTTTTCAGATTGAAGCTTCTCTGTGAAATAAAACAAAAAAGTTTTCTAGCCCTTGTACTTGTGAATATAAGTATGTGTATAAATAGGTAATGAAGAGTTCAATGGCAGTTATTTGAGATGGCAGATTGGAGAGACTAGAGCAGTAGCTACAGGAGCTGTAAACATTCCTGTTAATCTCAGCATTAACTTCCATGGGTTTTGTAACGAACGCAGGACAGTCATAACCTGCTCACCTAAGCAGTACGTACCCCCGAGTGCGGCTGGGTTCCTGCTGACACTGTTTTGCTGGCAGATGAGGAAAAGAGCTGTACTCCTCTTGATGTTATTCCCTGTGCTGCTCTCCTGCTATTTTGTTCTCATACAGTTATCCTCTTACTCTTCTTTATGGATCGTTCAAAGGAAATAAGTAAATAATGGCCAGTGTGTCTCTCTTAGCCCTAACCTGAGTGCAGTGGTCAAACCTTTCTCAATTTTTGTCTTTCAAACTGAAAGTTACAGAATTTTTGTTTCTCAGAAGATGTCCTACTATCACTACATTTCAGAAGGTATCTGCAAATTCTACTCGTGCTGTCTTTGGTGTCCACTGCATTCATCTCCAGCCTGTGGGTAAAATCAGCTTCAAATGGTTTTCTATTCACAGAGTTAATGCCTTCCCCAAGGGTATGTGAACCTAGAGAAGAAGGAAATTTGTCACCAAGCCACAGCTGGTACCAGTGAATGGCTGGTACCAGTGAATGTTTCATACAACAAATTCTCTTTCTTATTCAACAGAGCACCACCACTGCTAGTTTTAGACAGACTAATAAATTCATGACTGTTTAAGAAGCATGCCTGACTCTCTGTGTGTTACAGTGAAAGTGTTTGAAGTCAAGTATTACTGGACATTCTGTAGGCTTTCATGCCTGATAGTTTCACCATTTCCATTTGTGAAGGAAAATTTATAAAAATTTCATATGAGTTAAATATCTGGGGCAATCTCCAAAAGTGACAGTGACTTTGTGTAAACCTGGTATCATGCTGCTTTTGAGGACATCTGTTTTAAGTCCAGATGATACATAAATATTCACGCAATAAGAAACATGCTTTGGGAGAAAGATTCTGAAGTATTTAAATTATGTGGGAGGAAGATTTTTTTTCTCAGCTGATGCTGTTTGTCACTCTCTGTTGTCAGGAACTTCACTCAAAATGAGATTATCAAACCAAAATCAAGTTGTGGAAAAGTTTCTGTGGGAAATGATAGAAATTCTGGTGTCTGAAACAGATGAAACATGCCTGTAGGTGCTCCAAAGGGTGCTTTGAGAGTTTTGCAAAGCTCCTACAGAATGCTCAATTTGTCTTTAATCAGAATCTTTTCCCCTCCTCCCTGCTTCTCCTGGAACAAACTACCAAATACATGTTGCATGTCTTTGTGTCTCAGCACAAGACTAGATATATTTCTGTAAGATAAAATTTAACCATAGCAAATTCATTGTTTTGAGGGAAACTGGGAAGTTCAGTGGTTGCGGTTTAGAGGAAGTAGAACTGTAAGCCGTGTTGATAAACATTTAAATGAGAAAGTTCAGTTTCATATCTTGTGATAACTGTTTCTTGAGGATGTGTTGCTCACTTGGATTTCATGCTCCATTTTCCTTTGTCATTTTGAGACATTTTGTATTGTCAACGTTAACTAAGGGATGGTTGAGTGTATTCTATCCTTTGGGTTTTCAAAAGGGGAAGGATAAAGGCACAGATACGATGACCATAAAATACATGCTCATGGAGCAGAGAAGAATATCTAAATGGGAATTGTGAGCGATGCAATCTGCTAGTCATCGTAAACTGACTGGTTTTTTCACCTGTTTCTGTGACCTTTGCGGATGAGGCTAGGTTGCTCTGAGTCTTTTCTGAGAATATGTTTTTTGGATCTTAAATTACCTGTTAGAAAATGTATTGGAAAATGTCACAGAGATTTCACAAGACCCAGCAAATAAGTATCTTGCCAGAACTGGTGGGTCTTATCTCATAAAGAGATATTATTGTGTGAGATGGACTGCGGTGTTCTGTGCTCTGTGCTAGGTATTTCTTGAGGACATATGGAACAATCTTTGGCTAATTATTGACATGCTATATGTTAAACCCGTGAGTGTTTATTCCATGCAGTGGGAGTTTACATGTAGTTTGGAAATTTAGATCTTAGTGTTAACTTTTTTTTTTGCAACAAGTATTTTTTTTTTTCCTTCTTTCTTATGAATCTTAAAGATTTTCCAGGAACAGAGAACATCTGCTGCTTTTCTCGTATAAAATTCCTCTGCATTTCAATAGAGGAATGGGCTTTTATAATTGTCAGGAGAGTCCTAATAAGAACTTTGTAAAGGTGCTAACTAGGCCAGAAGTCTTCCAGTACTTCGGGAGCTCTTCTTGGCACTAGGGCAGCAATGACCTTGCTTATCTATTTGAAGTTTATGCTTGATTACGTAAACTGTCTTTAGAGCTTAGCCAACTTAGCACTGCAGCATTCACAAACGTTATGCTCAGTAAATGATTAAGCAAGCATTGAAGCACTAATCTGGCTAAACACTAAGCTGGTTTACTTCTGTGAGCTTTAAAAAAAAATTAATAGTTTGTCAGACTTAACAGCTGCTTTCAGTTCCCACTGCCCAGAGGAGATGCAAGCTTCACAGTTCCCTAGGTATCCCATTGTCTCATGCAGGTTTTCCGATCCTTCAGAGCTCTTAAACCCAGAGGAGCCTACCGTTTTCCCATTCAGTCTTTGAAGATGAGAACTTCAGTATAATGAAACTGTACAAGTGGAATCAGATAGTCCAGTTTAGGAAGTAGAGAAGCTTCTCTGAGCTGAGATTAGTCCTTAGCTGTGTCAAGGTCTTTGGTGTTTTATGCTGTAAAAACAAAAGTTGAGCACTTCGTTATGTCTTCTTGCAGGGGAATGAAATTTCAGCAGTGAAAAAGTGTTGAACCTTAAGTGAGTTAAGTATTCGTAAATGGCTTCTTTAGATGTAACATAGTTAACAGAAACTTTCTTATAGTTTCTCAGTTTGAAAAAACCTTTTCTTCAGAATGGCTTCTGCCTGAGTGTTTACAAACCTCAGAATTGGTGTACACATATGCAAGTTTTAAAGTATCAAGTATATGGTTTTTAGAGATTATAACTTTTTAGATTTTTATTATTATATAGATTGCTACTTGTAAGGGCTTTGTAGGTAGAAAGTGTATGTGTCTAGTTCTGAACTCTGCCACCGGAGTTTTATAAAAGAGTAAATCCAGTTATTTATGAAATTGTCCTGATGTAATCTAAGAGATTACAGAAACCAAATCCTTCCAGATTTGTACTGCAGTTTTCATAGCTCAAAAAGTAGGGAAGTCTGAAAAGAGGGTTTCTCACAGCAGCTGAGAAATAAACAGTTCTGATATTGCAAAAAAAATTTTCCCAACTTTTGAGGAGTTTGTAGAATTATTCACTATAGCTACATCTGATAGCACAAACTGATAACTGTTTCTCATCACTATTGCATTCTAGATTCAGTCTTCGTAATTGTTCAGATAAAATTCTCCAGTTCATATATCTTCCTAAATCTGATTATTTTATTTTATTGTATTCTATCTCTTTTAAAGAATAATGTTCAGGAAAAATACAGATTCACCTATATCAAAGGCAGTTCACAGAGTTACATTACTCTAAGGTTCCACAGTCTCCAGTTCATGGAGTCCAGTTTATGAAGATTGACAGCAGGTTGGTTTCTGTGTCTTCCATTGTACCTGTGATAATATGCCCAAATTTTATTAGGTTATAAACTCCTGAAAGTATTTTTTTCTACATACTCATTAAAAAATCGCAGACATTCACCGGTAAAGTCTATGAAGTTTCCATAGGAGCTGGAGATGCATGCCCCATCACAAATTTTAAGGGATGGGCATTACTTTCCATGCAATAGTTCGTGTCAGAAAGCAATCAGAACAGAGACTGTAAAATGCATTTTTGTGTGTGTCACAAGGTCTCCCCCTGTTCGTATCAACACGATCAAAAACGGGAGGTTTTTCATGAAGAAAGTCACCAGTGTTGAACAGCTCCTGTAG